AGGATCTAAAGATAGCCTGAAGTCCTATGGTGAACTCTGCATGGGTGATGTGCTGTGGGAGCAGAATGAAATGGGAAACTCCATGATTGTCCCAATGAAACTGGTGTTCCAGCCTTAAGCAGATTTATCCACAATTCAGCAGGTGCTTGTAAGTAATATTAACCTGGAAGTCAAAACAAAAAACCCCAGCCGAAGTATCCTGGATGCATGGTTTCTGACAAGTCACAGCCTTTTGAGAGCTAGCCAGGCCTTTGATAATGGTTAGCTTGACTTCTGAGAGAGCATTTGCCCAAATTAATGAAATGGGTAGCAAGCACAATGTCTGAAATTCTACACTCAAGTTTTTCTCTCTCTTGTTTCTTAATCAAATATATATAAACTCAAAAAAGAACAACTAACTATCTCAGAGAAATAGAGAAAAATAATGTGCATTTACTTTTTAACAAGTAAAACTATATACACACACACACATATATATATACACCATAAGCTCAATATTGAAATAACAGTACTGCAAAAAAATTACCTTAAATAACCTCAGGTGAGAAAAAAAATAAAGTAGTAGCAATGTTCAAGAATGATAGTAGAGTAGTTGAATGGTTCATGTTCCTAGAAAATATGAACCACAACAGACAGTTTAAAAGTATCTTCATACACACACAAAAAAAAATGATACTTACATAAAGTAATACCAATACAAAATCTATCATACTACAAAACCAGTCTTATTCTTTTATTCTTTCCCAAATTGTGGTCTTTTTTATTGTTTGCTGAGTAGAAAAAAACACTGTCTATGCAAAGGACAGTAAAAAGGAAAAAACTCCTGGATAAGAGAGAAGAGACAGTTCCAACCAGAGGCCTTACTCTGCAATCACTGTGCAGCTCACACAACATTGTTTGGATATTCATATATTTAGGTATGGTGAGGTTGCTGCAGCAACATCATGTGCTACATACAACTCTTGATGCTTTTTCAGTGTCAGCTGAATTAGTTTTAACATTTTAATAGATTTTACAATTTTTGTTAGGTTTTTTTTTTTGTTACTACTATTATTATTATTACTATTATTTATAATCAGGTATTTATTTGACAACTGGTCTTGCTGCTCACAATTTATGACAAAGCAGAAACACTTTCCACCAATCCTATAGAATATTTGGGGGCAAGCCCCAACAGCAGTGCTGTAAGGCTTCACCTGTCACAGCCCCTGCTGTTTGTACACTACAGTACAACTTCAGTTCAGGGTTCTCATGCGGTAGCTGAGGTAGACCTTCCCTTAATACAAAGTTGCTTGAAGTGACAGGACACAAAAAGAGCATGCAGCTAAAGAACAATAGTCGAAACAACTGGCACTTATCAGGAATGGCTGTAGGCACATTTTGTCTTTTGGCTGATTATTTACTAGTGCACAACAATTTTACTGCCTTGCCAATTTGTAAAATGTAACAAAGAATGTGACTCTTTGTACCTCACCAAGTTTTACTCCTGTTACCAAACTCCTAAAACTGAATTTCCTTCTGCTAAGGACAGTGCAAATTCAATTTGCATCAATTTCAAAATGAGTAATTTTAAACTGGTATCTTTGTTTTCTTTTGCTTCTTTCAGTGTTCAGGCCATTATTATATACCATTGAGCTATCAACCTTCATAAAGTTCTCTGAAGGCCTACATACCATCTGGTATGCTCCTCTATCACTGGCATAGCAACAAAACTGTGTCTTAAGTGAAAACAAGCCAAATGTAACATTTCTAATGTTGCATGTAAAGCAATTTGGTATAAAAATAGATTCTTTTCAAATTTCTGCTACCATTCTTTAACAAAAACCAACAAAAACTCACAAATCAGCCTTCAAAACAATAGCAGACAGCAATCTGTCAGCTTTCCAGTAAGCACAAGCTGTCCAACCAATGCCATTAGCACCTCAAAAAAGACATTTTTCCTGCCTTGCTTGCCAGGAATTCACAATAGCTTGTTAACAATACTAATACCTACCAATTACCCAGTCTTTCCAAGTTCAAAGCACTGTAAAAACTGAAGTAATCTGCTGCAGCATTTTCTAGGTTCATGCTAATTCCTGTAAACGAAATGTTTTTAAAATCTGGCATGTTCTGGAGTGTTCTATTTAATCCCCTTCGTTTTCACTGTTTTCTTATCTTGAACTTGCTTTTTCTCCCCAAGTTCTGGAATTTATGGGGTTTTTTTTCTTATAACTTTTCCCCCAAGACTTGCTGAGTCACAAACACAGACTGAGCAGAGTGTCTGCTCCCCCTTTACACTTGCTCTCCCGATTTCATCTTTCTATTCTCAACTTTTCAAACATACTCGTTCACCTTTGCAACCTCAAAGCCCATTTGTCTCTGCACATTTGACAACATTGTTTGACTTCATCCTCCAAGTCAGTAAGACAACATGACTTGACATCTATCATATGTCATCCTTGCCTCATGGATAAAGTGGTCAATGTCTTGTCAGAGTCCTTAACCTTTAGATGTGTTGCAATAAATCAGTGTAAGGCAAGCACATCAGAGGTGCTAACAGCAGTACGAATGTTTTGCAGAGAAGCTCAGAGCTTCGCCATGGTTGTCAGGTTCCAAGGAGCCAAATTCTCTGAGTTAAAGTAAGTATCCTCATGGACCATTCTTTTTTCCTCCTCTAGCCCACACCCAGCTTTACCTCTGATGTACCTACAAGATTCTTTATTCCCATTTTTGGGGTAACTCACCTTTTAAGTGAGTGGAATTTCAAGTTGGTAGGAGTCTGAGCTTGTGCTGACAGGCAAAACTCTTCCATTTTCACACTGGCCTGCTCTTTGCATGAAAGCCCTTGATCTCATCTTGCCTTTTTAAATGACAAGAGTGAGTCTAGCCCAGACACTCCTTCTCCAGCACAATTTAGTCCTCTTCAGAGGATAACCTCAGGGGATAACCTCAGATGATCTCTGAACTACACTGTTCAAGCACCAGCCAGTCTGCAAATCCACCTGTGCCTTGGCATCTGCCTGTGGGGGCGAAATGACTCTTCTGTTCCATTTACACTGTCACTTATTTGTATTTGGGATTAGCAGAATGCAGTTTCTAACAAATTTAAACTCATCTGTTTTCCAAATTGTATAATAATATTTGATGTGAAGGCAAGACATCACTGAAGCTTGATTCCCTCCAAATCTTTTTGCTTCTAAGGTGTTTGGTACTGCAATTTAGAAGTCAAATAACTTTAAGGGCGAAGGAACATCCTGTGAGCCCAGAACTACAGAGCTGGCACAATAGATGGGTAAGTGGCTTCTTTTTCTGGTTTTCTGTTAGCTAGCATAATCTGTCCAGAATGTCCTTATTAGCTGCTGAACCTGGCTCACCAGTATAATGCTTATTCATTTCTGCCAGGCCTTGAAGCACTTTATTTCATGGCTGGCTGGTATGTGAAAGGGCAGATGCGTAAAGGTAGTTTCAGTACCTCTTTGCCACTTCATCATATTGAAGGCCACCATTTCAGTCCTGGAAAAGTTCTCTGCAATTCCAGGTAACCTCAGGTGCCTGTGCTCTGCAACCACACATCCAGAGAAACACAGCATAGCAGCAGGCCCTGACCTGAGACAGCAAAAGGAGGTGTCTTCCTACTTATTCTGCCAATAGAACATAATGCTGGAAACATGTTGAGGAACCTAAGCTGAAAACTGCCCTAAATTCACACCTGAAGGATGGGCTACCACCCAGAGGGACCTGGATAAGCTTGAGAAGCAGGCCCATTGAAATCTCACTCTAACAAGACCAAGTATCAGGTCCTGCACTTGGGTGAAATCAATCCCCAGTATCATCCTGGAGGATGAACAGATCCAGAGCAGCCCTGCCCAGAAGGACTTGTGGGTGCTGAGGGGTGAGAGGCTGGACATGAGTTGGCAGTGGTCACTCCCAGCCCAGAAAACCAAACATGTCCTGGGCTGCATCCAAAGCAGCGTGGCCAGCAGGGGAGGGAGGGGATTCTGCCCCTCTGCTCTGCTCTGCTCTGCTCTGGTGGGACCCCACCTGCAGGGCTGCACCAGCTCTGGGGTCCCAGCACAGGACAGACATGGGCCTGATGGATCAGCTCCTGAGGAGGGTCACCAAGATGATGAGAGGTGTGGAGCACCTTTCCTGTGAGGGAAGGCTGAGAGAATTGGACTTGTTTGGCATGGAAGAGAAGGCTTAGGGGACACCAGATTGCGGCCTTCCAGTACCTGAAGGGAGCCTACAAGAAAGATGGAGACTTTTTACAAGAGAATGTAAGTGAAGCATGCAAGGGGCCATGACTCCCAAACTTAAAGAGAGTAGCTTTAAATTAGACATTCGGAATTCTTTACTGTGAGAGTAGTGAGTCACTGTAGTGGGTTGCCCAGAGGACTCATGAATGCCCCATCTCTGGAAGTGTTCAAGGCCAGGTTGGATGGGTTTTGAGCAGCCTGGTCTAGTAGAATGTGTCCCTGCCCATGGCAAGGGCGTTGGAACTAGGAATCTTTAAGGACCCTTCCAACGCAAACTACTCTTAGGTTGTATGACCTTGTATTTTAGGGTTCCAAATCTCCTATTATGGTCTCCTAGCGGTTCTGCACCCAAACTTTTCGACTTGGACGTGGGGGACGAAGTGTGAACACGCTATCATTTGGAATCAAAGCCGTCACTTGTGCGGCGTCTGGAGACGAAACCCGCAAATCTGCTCGGTGACGCCAGCAGCCGAGCGAGACCCCAAGCCTGCAGAAGCACACGGAACCGGCTGCGAGGCCGGCACCTCCCCAGCCCGGCGTTCCTCCCGCCCCTCATGGCAGCGCCTCCCTCCGCTCCCGGGGGAAAAGGCGCGAAGGCGCACGCGCTCGCGCGCTCCGGCCGGGCGCGGCGATTGGCGGGCGGGATCATGACGTCATCGCCGCGCGCCGGCAGCCCCGCGCACCGCTCCTGAGGGGAGCGCGTCCTGCTCCCGCTGCCCGGGCCTCATCCCGCTCTCCCGCCGGCCCACACTCCTGCCCCGGGGGCCGGGCCGGCCCCTGCCGGCCGCCGCTGCTCCCTCCCACCGCCCCGCTGCGACCGTCCCGCTGTTCGACAGGTGCGTGTGGGGCCCGCCGCACGTGCCCGGGGGGTGCCGGCCGCCGTGAGATGAGGAGGGAGGCCGGGGAAGCGCGGGGAAGAGGGAAAGTGGGTGGGTGGATGGATGGATGGGCAGGCAGGAGCATTCCAGCTGCCCGTCAGTGTCCCTGGCCTCGGGTTTCTGTGGGAGCGCCGGCCGGTCCTTTGCCAGCATTTTCCTAGCTGTATTTGACGGGCCCTGCCGGCTCTCTCCCCTTCCTGGCTTTTCCCACAGCAAGGTTAAGAATATGAGCCTCTACAATTTGGACCGGTTCCGCTTCGAGAGGAAGGGGAAGGGCGCGGAGCAGGAGTCGCCGTCCCCGCCGGCGGCCTGGGCAGAGGCACCTGACGGTGCTGCCGCGGTCGGTGCCGCTGGAGGGGATGAGGAGGAAGGTGCGGGTGACAGTAAGAGGCCAGACACTCCGGATTCGGACGTGACAGAGAGAACTGGTGAGTCAGGCCTTTTGCATGCAGTGCTTAATTTCTAGAAATAAAGTAATTGGCTTGTGTTTTGGTGTTTGTCTTTTTGGGTTTTGCCCCCTTTGTTTGTTTTACAAATGTGTTTTTCTGTGTACACGTTTCACAACAATTTCCACAAAAGTATTCTCATTTGTAGCCGTGTATACTGTAATTGAACCTGTGCATTTGCAGGCAAGTCGGTAACTTTCTAAAATAACTCGTTTTTTTAAATTGATTAAATAAGCTTCAGATTAAATCTTGAAAGTGTGTTATGTTTTCCTATTTATAAACTTCATTTAGTGATACTTTACGCTAACATTTCAGGATTTTCAAGGAAGAAGTGGCTTTTATTTGTCTAATAGATGCAACACTGTAGACTTAACTTTTTGAGTAGAGTCCTTGGCTAATGCATTGTGGAGCATCACAGACAGAACTAAAAATAACAGGTTTTTTTCATTTGGGCCTGATTTTGAGGAGCTGAGAGACCTGGTAATGATTCTCAGAAGCTAACTGTGTTAATGGTTTTGTTGTAGTGTTTGTCCTCTTTTGGGGCAGAAGCTTGGGGTTTTCATGGAAACGTCAAAACCTGATTCTGTCATAGTATGTTGGTTTCCTTTGGCTGAGACAGTAGGGATGTGCTGTTCCTGTTTGGATTTGTTGGTTAATACTAGTGACTGAAATTGCTGTCAGCTGTGTAATCACATTCACTGGTAGGTTTTTCCCTGTTACTGCGTAAGATTTGAAGAACAGACAGTATCTCCTGCTGATTATTTGGTACTTCCCAGACATGCCATATTACTTGTGATACAGTTGTCAAGTTACAGGTGTTACTGGAGAGATCAGACAGACTTTGACTATGCATTTATTCAGAAGTGAAACAACAATGTCTGTGGATGTTGTTTAGCCACATTTTTTGCATGTGACTTTCCCTTGGTGCAAAGCAGTTTTTCACAATACCTTATCTACGTGACAGAAGAGAACCTTTCATGCACGAGGAGGCGTTCCTTTTTTAAAGCTGAGCCAAGTCAGAATTACAGGAGGTGGATGTTTACTCTTCCCTAAATTTGGGTTTAGTGCAGGTTGACTATTTTCTGTTGATCTGAGTGCTCTTGTATTTACATTAGTAAATATTAAGTAGTGTTCTGTGTTAAAAATAAATAAAACATGCAAGTTGCTAGTCTGGAATTGAGTGACCTGTCCACTTGCGAATAATCTTTTGGTGACAGGGAGAACTTCACAGGAAGAAGCCAGCAGCTGTTAATTCTGGCTTCTGCTCACGTGTCTTTGTAATGCTTGTATGGAAAATTGGGCATACTGAAGAAGTGCACTTTGGAACAGGTGTTCTCTTCCTGTTTGTGGTCAATCATTGTCTTGTGGTATGGAGGAGTTACTGAGTGCAGAGGACTTTCTTGACCTGTGAATGTAGTTGTGCAGTAAAGATGGTGCTGCTTGTTCTGTGATTCATTGTTTTGGGGATTTACTTTATTTTAATACTATATTTCTTCCTTTTAATCTTTTAATCTGCCTGTGGGCTTTGTCAGTGTAAGCACCTGTAACAACCATAGCTGTCAAATTTTAGTGCTTGTTTTTCAAAATGCTGGTTTCCCTTGACTTAAATTCTGCAGGGGTAGAACTGTGAAGAAGGGATGCAATACCTAATTTAGAGGCATGAGTTTAGATACAAGGTAATAAAAAGGAAGGTGAAGGCCAGCCTAAAAGAAATTAAATGCAAGGCCAAGTAGTTGTGAGGAAAACTAGTGGGAGATGGTGGTAGCTAACAGTGAGACATGGTAGAGTGCAAGAGCAGGCAAAACTACAGCAGGTGTCCAATGGAAATAACCATCCATGGGCACAGATGGTGGTGTAGGACTGGGGCACTAATTAACATTTAAAATTGAGATGTAATTAATAGTGCTCTGCATATACGTACATATACATCTCACCTTTCACAGACATTGAGTGTTTAAAGATCAAGTAGTTTAGTGGCTTTTTCTCCCACTTATTTGCACATCAATGTTATGTAACCTATTTCAAGAATTAATATCCTTTTAAGAGATGAAATCACATTTTCTGTATCTACAGAAGTTAACAAAAAATAAAACACTTAGATTTTGTCTGCATGATATGAGGAACTTAAATGTAATAGAGAAAACTAGATTTAATTAGCAGATGCCTGTCCCCCTTGTTTCCTAATTGGTATCAGGAAGACAGAATTTTTCTTGGTTTGGGTCAAATGAAACAGCTGTTGTTGTTGTTGTTATTGCTGAATGGTCATGGACAAGGCCCAATGATGAGTTTATGGCATTGTGTGCACTCTGCTGCCAACAGCACCAAGTCAAACTACGGAGTTGTTTTGTACAAGAAGCAGTTTACACCAAGTTCACCAAAAATAACTTGCCCTAATGCTCAGTGGATCATGTGAGGACTACAATTACTCAGATGTCTTCTGAAGACAAACCAAGTGATTAACAAAATAGTGGTACAATAAACTGGGAAAAGAAGAGGAATGTGATCTTTTTTTCACTTATACAAACAGAAATGCTATTAAAGAGCTAACAACTTGGGGTTTTGTTCTATTTCCTTTGGTTTCATGCAACCACAGTGTGTATATAAAAAGAATTTTGAAATCTGACCTTTTCCTTCAGGAACACAACTAGTTCAGTATAATTTCTGAGAGATTTCTTCAGATTTCTCTTGTATCAAGTGGCCTGAAATACACATCTGACAAAGTATAGGATTCTCTAAATGTCATCCATCTTCAAAAGATATAGTCAGATGTTGTTAATATTGTGTCATGAACCACCATTATCTTTTTAGCTATTTTCTTTATTTTTTTTTTCCCCAGAACAAACTAACACTGGTAGATTGTTCTGTACCCCATTTATGTCTGTGGGTCATGCTTCTTGTTCCTTTGTGTTGAAAACGAGTCCCTTATGGCTTAATAAGCAATTTGTGGTGTGATGGCCATGAGAATTGATCATCTTTGTACATTTGTCTGTATTCAAAATTACACAGACCTGCAGTTACTTTGCAGACAGGTTGTGGGGAATAATTCTGAACTGCAGTTACTGAGGGATAGAAACCAAGTCTGGGGACAGATACCAAACTGTGTGTGATAGCTGTATCTAAAAAGAGTTGGAAAAATACACTGGAGTGGCTTACTACAGTTTTTCATGCAAATTAGTATTTACTAATGGTTTACGAATGGTTCTGAATCTCTTAATCAGTTAAGGAAACAGTGAAGCATCTTAATTTTTGTGTAGATGTTTTTAATTATGTAAATAGCTGGGTATACTAAGATAATGAGATTATTCTACACAGTTGTAGAAATGGAGCAGAACTGTACCAGAACTGCACAAATTAGAATAATTACCAACATTAATTTCAAAATCAAGCTTGTATTCAGGTCTTGTATTGCATGCTTACAAAGCTTCCAAAAAGAATTTAAATAAAAGTTGTAAAAGAAATTGAAGTACAATATATAACCCTGTTATTGATGGCTGATTTTGTTGATATTCTCTCTGTACTGTTTGAATATGTGTCCCAAACAACTGCACTTTGAGATTATAGTGCTCACAGCTCATTTGTGCTGGGAGTGCTCTTTTTTTGTTCTGTTGTCATTTTCTTTAGGATCTGAGGAAATCCTGTCTTTTGCTTATGTCTCAGTTCATAGAGTATAATTCTACTTAGAGTATTTCTGGAAAAAAAGTCATGACTGCAGCATCTAGTGACGTTTTCTAAGGGTTCATGGGAACATATATTGAAGAAATCATCATTTTAAAAGGGATGCTTTAAGAAGCACCTTAGAGTAATACTGACATTTAGGATTATTTTAGCCATTGGAAATACTTCCCTTTAAAAAGGAAATACTACCTTGTAGACTTGAGCAGCATGTGCTTGATACTGTTTTCCAAAACTAGGAGGAAGTAACTTCCTATTTGACAATGCTTGTTGGACAATGTTAGTAAATGTGGTAAGCCTCTTAAGTATTGCCTCTGACATTGCTTTGATTTTATTTTCATTTTCACTTGGGAGAGAAGATGCTGGCTTTTGCAGAGTGTGGTGTCTGATTTGTTTAAGAGGCTGTGTTTAGAATTACAGGGGAGTGTATTCTCTGTCTATGATAGCGAATACTGGTTGTTGTTGGGTTGGGTTCTGGTTTTGATGTTAATATGTGCATGTAGGGCTACTTAGGAGTGTTCCTGTTTCTGGCATCAGTCAAATACTGGTCTTAGGCTTGCAGACATTCCTTAATAGTTCTTTTGAATTGCCTGTAGTCAGAAAATTCTGCCTCCAACAATCAGGTGTTGTGGCAATAACTTTAATCTGTTACTACTCTACAAGGTTGCAGTATGCTCTAAGTAAACATTACGTGTGTGATTTCTACTTCCCCTCACTTAGTAGGGGACTCTGTTCAGTGGAATAGGTGAAGAAAGGGGAGAAGACTGGGCTTTTTTTTTGAGAGGGAGAATGTTTGGGTTTTTTTCCCATGCAACTTGGCGTTTTATAAGTATGGGTGTTAGGAGCTGTCACGAACACTGGACAGTAATTGGTAAATAAAATAAAAATAAAATGAGAAATCACTAAGTGAAGCAGTAAATACTCTTTATTTAAATATAAACCTTATCTAAGGTTACGAATAAAATTACTTTTAAGACCATTGTATTTTTGTAAAGTTTCCTTGTGTTGTTTTAAAATTCAGTAAGGATTCCTCTTAGCAAAGGTGTCATTTCCATGTCATGCTGCTTGCAAGGGGAATATGTTTGGAATTTAGTCTAACCTACAAGGCAAAGATCCATGAAAACTGCCTTGATCTGTTCTGTTAATTCAGTATAGATGCAAAATTCTCATGTTTCTTGCAGACCTATTTTGATACTGAATCACCTTTTTTTTAATGCATTTTGTATTTCTGTCCTGTTGTGATAGCCCTTGCCCTGATAACCCACCTTCATAATGTTCCCAAAGGTCTCTTTGCTTCTCTCCTGTATTTATCTAAAAACTTAATCAGTTTTTAGATGAAGCAACTGCATCAATGACAACACATCTCCTTCCTAAAACAGACAGATAGAAGGTACTGTCAGGAAGCTTCCACTGCCAACGTGTTGGTTGTGGATGCAGGGAGGTCTGTCGTGGAACAGTGTACTACTGCTTCAGAACTAATAATTTTTAGGCATTCCTAAATTTGCATGTGTACGGGCTTTTCAAAATAAGATTCATTTGCAAGGTGAGACTTTTACCTCTTCTAAAAATCATTACCATAATTCTTTGTTGTGTTTTGAAAGTGATAGAAAAGATTCAGATTTTGATAACTCAACTAAAATTAGGTCTTTTACCACAGATGAAGAAATTACATGCCTCGTAGCTTCTTTCTGCATTTGACTATCAGATGAATTTATTCTAGCTTCATCTGCATCTACTGTCTGCTGGCAAATCAGCTTTGCAAACTGATGTTACACTCTAATTATTTGATTCAGCAAGTTTCTGTGTTAGTGAATGGAGGCAGAAGAAACTACTTCCAGCCAAAATTGTGGTTCCAGAGTTAGCAGCACCAGTGGTGCTTGGTTCACAGGCACATGAGTTTTAAAAAAGAATGGGTGTGTTAGAGGGGAGAGGATACCTGTGATGCTTTCTTTGTGTTATGAGAGTTTAGGATCTTTTTATATGAGAACTTCAGGTGACAGTAGTATCACTAAAACACAACTTTCCCAGAGGTTTGTGGCTCTGCCCCTTATCCTGGATTTTTCCTGTGTGTGGCTAAGGTCACCATGTTGAGGGATCCATTCAGTGCCGGTAGCTCAGTGTGTGGCTGCAGGTTGAGCTGTGGGTGGGGAGAGCCCCAGGCAAGAGGCAAGGAACTGCTGACCCCTCACACAAAGGTCCCTGTGGCCCAGCCAGGGGACCCGACACTCAGGAGCTGATGTCTCCAGACTTGACTGCACTTAGACTGTGAGGGGGTAAAAGCCCAGAATTTTTTTGTTTGGGGTTGTTCTGTGGAAGCACCAGCTCGAGCTGTGATTTTGTAATTGCACCATGATTAAATGATATTTCATCTGGGGATGTGGACATCTGAGACTGCTCTGGGAAACCTGGTGTGATTCTGTAGCTGCAAAGGGGTCTTGGTCCCAGCTCAGGTGCTGCCAGAGTGGCTTCTGGATGGTTGAACAGGGAAGTTTCTTTAACAACCTGAAGCCTTGAGGCTTAAATGGTTGCTCTTTTGAACTGTTATTGAACCCTTGTTGATATTTCTTCATAGACACTGAGTTACATTCACCTCTATCCCTTTAACCACTATTAAGCTCCATTTTAAAGTTGTTTCCTTCTTTTTCTGTAGTATGCTCTGTAACATTTGGTACCATATTTTTTTTAGTTTACTGTGTGCCTTTCCCTTTCAGAGTGTGTACATTTTCCTGTGTCAGCAAATAGCTTGTACTTCTAGGATTTATCTTTTTTTCTATTCATTCTGTGCTGCTACAGGGAGTTATTTTAAACTTATTTTCCTCAAGATTTCTTTCATACAGAAAATACTCTCCGCAGCTGTCATGTTCTATGCTCTGTGCATCAATTTTTCTCTCATAGAGAAAAGAGAGAAATATGCCTGTGTGTCTGTGTTCTGATCAGCCTGGAAGTAGTTCAGAGGACTTTGCTCATTATTGATTTATCTAAAAATAAGTATTTTTAAAATTATTTATAAGTAGTTATTAATCTAAAACACATGTTTTCTTAAACTTTGTAGTATAAGAATTGTTTGTTTTTGATGTAGGAGGGCTGAAGATCCTTTGCCAGGTAAGTTCCCCCTTTAAAGAATGCAGCTTACAGGTATTTTCTGTGCATGAGAATGTGAGTTCTGTTTAACTGGGTATTGTGTCTGAAAGAAACTACAGCTAGCTGATGTTCTAAGTACAAATAAATATTTGAAGTCATAAGTCATTGTCATCTCTTTTTTCCTCCTGTTGAAATGGCTTGCACAGAGTATTCCACCATCCCAGAAACTCCTGAATCTCAGAGGACAATGAAAGAGTCTTACTTCAGGCGCCAGCGAGGGGTGCAGTTCCTTGATGTGTCTGACAGTGAGGAGGAGCCAAGAAACTTCGGTGCTGCCAAAGAAACCCAGGCTTCGAGGGGAGAGGTGGCCGTAATGTACGCTTTGAGCCAGCTATGTTGTGTCTCTGCGCCTTCGTGGGGTGTTCTAAGTTGAAACACTGAATTGAAAATCAGAGCCTAGGTTGGATTCTGGTTTACTCCTTTGTGATTCATCTGCCCCTAACTAAACTTCACTGGTTTTCTGGGGAAGAAGTATCCAGCTAAAACATTTTCTCAGAGGGAGGAGTTCTGTTATGTTGAAATGTCTGATGTTTGTTCATTTATACATTTGTGCTTTTGCCCTTCTGAAATCCTTATAGTGCAGCTTGGAAACTTAACCATAAAACACTTGCTTTGCTAATTTTAAACTGTTGGAGTTAATTATTTTTTTTGTATATGCAACTATATTTGACAGGGAAGCAAATAGAGCTTCAGTGTGTAGTACGAGTCCCGAGGTAAACTTAAGATAAACTTAAGTATTAGTTGCCTGGCGTGTTTCCTATGCATAGTGAAAACTGTTTCTTTCCCAAGTGATTTGGAAATTCATATTTTTGAATGTGCTAGGAGGGAAGAGTCACTGTGCAGGGGTCACTTGTGGTGTATGGCTAAAAAGGCAGCATTGAGAGAGCAGGTGAGACAAGATGTAGATGGACATGTGCAACCATTTGCAACAGGTTAAAGGAATGCCTGCTGATTATGTATCTGTGTGGTAATTGTGCTCTCTAGATGTTCTAGTGCTAAGCAAAACAAGATGGCTTAACCTGCTTTTTTGATAGTCTAGTTAAATTAATGGGCAGAAAACTTTTTGTGGGAATTGTAGCATTAACAGGTATAGTCTTTTGTCAGGCTTTCTGCCCTACATGGAGCAGGGAGTTACTGGGCATTTACAGCAGAAGTGAAATAATGCATTTTCCTGCTGCGGTTACCTGAAATTCTGATCTTCTGTTGTTTGGTTTTTTTTTAGTGTTTCATCCCTAAAGTTTCAAATTAAGGCAGCTACTTGTAAAGGAGAAAAAAAATTAGCAGTTACAAGTGAACTCCTGCTTCTGGCTGTGATTTAAGTTGTAAATTGTGCAAGGAGACAGAGGTGGCCATCTGGTTGCATGCATCAAATTGGCTTGTGTGCAGTGCTGTGTAAATGTAGTTACTCTGCTTCTGGGATCAATCCCATATGGAAGCAGTTCAAGTTGTTTTGTACCACATAGAGCTGATGCTGATAAGCCACGCAGGATGGAACTTGCAGAGCCACTGCTTGCTGTTCTTATACTGTGTTGTGATTGCTGGGAGTGAGAGATGGACAGTGACTCCTAGTGGGATTGATAAACATGAAGCCAACATCCTCTTCTACTCCTCAGAATTCCCGTGTAGCCACCGGGCACCTCAGTGCCCGTCACTTTGTCCTAGTGTGCTGGCTCGGCTGCTGATTGATGCATACAGAACACACAGAGCTGTCTCACAAGTGGCTGTTCTGGTCGAGCTAACAAACAAATGGAAACTGTGGCAAGATTTGCTGGCTTAGGAGCTCTGGCTCCAGCTTGTGCTGAATTCTGGCTTTGCATAGAATCAGTCAATTCAGTGTCTGCATTGTACATTTAGTGCATGTGCTACCTAGTTTGGGGAGTTTGTGGGGTTTTTTTTACTTCCTTTTTGCAGAGTATCCTAGCTTCCCTCGTTCTGAAAAAGGTACAGAACAGAAAGCAGAAAGTTTAGAGTAGAAAACACATCTTTCCTGAAAGAATGTGTGCCATAAGTTTTGCTACCAGCGATTGACTGTCTGGACTCTGTTGGAAAAAGAGCAGAATCTACCACAAGATTTTTTGGGTCAGAGTTACTTAGCAGTTAAATGAGTGTTTCTTTATGCTTGATAAGAATATGATTATACACAGAGGGTAAAATTTATGATGTATGCAACTCTGACTTTGTTGACAAGGGTCCAGATGTTATTCTCTATTAGGAAAAGATAGAATAATTGGAGTGTTACCATTTTCATTTGGATTGATTTTCTTTTTAATATGCACTTTTTAAAAGAAACCTGGTTCCTTATGAAGGAAGGCAAAAAGATCAGAAATATGCCAATATATTTTAATATGATATTTCGTTAAGATTTTTTTTTAAGTGGAAGGGATTCATACTTTGAGGCTTACAACTCAATGCCTTGGTGGACTGAAGAATAACTTGGGTTCTCTCTTGTTGCTTCCTTACTCTTAAGAGGCACAATCAGTGTCCTGGTAGCTGTGTGTGCTTTTTGAAAAAGGAGAAAATGATTCTTTGATGAGCACTTACCTGTGTGTAACTTTTATGTAAGTGACACGGAACAATTTTTTTTCCGTAATTCTATTGCCGTATTCCTGTTGCAAGTGCTAAAGAAAGATATAGTGAGGAAAAACAGGGGTTTTTTTAGTATTTAACCTATATTTACGTAGAGAGATCTGCAAACAAGCCTTTCTGATGGTGAAATCCCTAATAAATGGCAAACTCCATACAGGTCAGTTAATTTTGCATTCCCTAAAGGAGATTTTGTGTCTGTGGAAGGGAGAAGGATGGTTCAGTTTTATCTGTGCAACTCAATATGCCGAAAGATACATAGCGGCTGCTTTTCCTGCAAATTAGCTCTAATAATCAATCTTCCAGTAAATTCAGAATACTGAATTTCAGAAGTTTCAGAACAACTTTTTTAGAAAGGCTCTTCCCATATATATACATTTAAGATGCTGCGCAAGGAGCTTTTCTTTCTCAGTGAGCTGAGAACTAGGACAGAGTTGATACTGTACCTGGAAAGTGTTTACAAAGAACCTAATCCACATCTGCTTATTTTTTGGGTAAATAAACACTAGCAAGGCTGTTTGAGATAAACTAGGGGTAGTTATCTGATGTAATTCAGGTAGCTGGAATGATGAACTCTATTAAGGTGGTTGTTATTAAATTATCAATAACCTCTTATAAAAATATGAGGAGAAAGTCATAGGATTTCCCTGGTCCATTCTTCCTTTTTTCTTTTCTTTGACAAGTTGAAATTGAGTGCAAGGGGAAGACTGTACTTGATACATGCCTTTGTCCTGAATAGAGGTGTCCCTTTGCATATAAGTTGATCAGTGTTACTGAAAGCATCTAAATGCATTCTGTGCAATCCTGGTGGGTTTAGTTTACAGTAATGTTCTGGTAAAAACATTCATAAACAAAAATAAATTCTAATTATTTTTTCTTCCCTCATACATTGTAGCTCTGAAACACCTGATAATGATAAACAGCCTGAAGAGGAAATGCCTCAGCTGGCACTTGTAAATGGTGGGGAGCAGCGGCCAGCTGTGAAGGAGGATGTAGAGGAAGATACCAGAGACTCAAAGCTGCAAACTATGAAGGGACGTTTTCCCCAAAGAAGCAACCAAGAATTATTAAAAGTAATAATTCTCAGTTCTTTATTTTGATGATTATTTTATAGGCAGGTTTTCTAAGCTTCTGATGTCATTATAGGGTACAGTCTTGTGGTGAGTAATGCTGTCTGGATGCCAGGTGCCCACTAAAGCTGCTCTGTCACTCTGCTTCTCAGCTGGAGAGGGAAGAGAATAGAGTGAAAGACTTTTGGATCATGATAAAGACATGAAGAGATCGCTCAGCACTTACTGTCATGGGCAAAACAGACTCAACTTGTGGAAAAGATTTAATTTATTACCAATAAGATCAGAATATGGTAATGAGAAATAAACCCAAATCTTAAAACACCTTCTCCCCACCTGTCCCTTATTTTGGGGCTTAACTCTATTTGTGATTTTCTCTACCTCCTTCCTCCCCACACCAGTGGTGCCTGGGAATAGGATATGGGGACTGCAGTCATTTCATCAGCCCTCCTCAGTAGGACTCCTGAGACCCTTCCCTTGCTCCAGAGTTGGATCCCTTTCTGTGGCGTGCAGTCCTTTAGGGCAAGCTGCTCCATTCTGGGTCCCTTAGACTGGGGCACCAGTCCTACCAGCAAACCTGCTCCAGTGCGGGCCCTTCTCTCCGTGGGTCCTACCAGGAGCCTGTTTTCAGGGGGGCTTCCCGTGCAGTCACAGCCTTCTTCAGGCATGCACCTGCTCTGCTGTGCTGGTCTCCAGGGGCTGCAGGTGGATCTTTGCTCCACCTCAGACCTCCATGAGCTGCAGGGGCACAGATGCCTCACCATGGGCTTCACCATGCTCTGCAGGGGAATCTGCTCCAGAGGCTGGAGCACCTCCAGCCCCTTCTTCATTGACCTTGGTGTCTGCAGGGCTGTTTTTCTCTCATTAATTCTTCTTCTCTCCTGCTGTAGGTGTATTGTTCATCCCCATTTCCTTACGCCCCTTCCTTAACCGTTATTTACTGGTGCTGCCACTGTCCTTGGTGGACTTGGCCTTGGCCAGCAGCAGGACTGTCCTGGAGCCCTGGCTCTCTTGGATGTGAGGGAAGCTCCTGGTGGCTTCTCACAGAAACCACCTGTGTAGCCCGTATCACTGTCAAACCTGAATATGCAAACATAATGCAGCTCTTAATTGTTGTTTTGTTAATAGCAAAAGGGTAAAAGCACCATTTTAGGGGAAGTACAGCTGTGTAACATTTCCACATACATGGAAATTTGGATATCTATAAAAATTAATATATAGACACACTTCAAATAAACACCTTTAGGTAGATTCAACAACAGTGAACTCCAGTGTATGGAAAATTTTTCAAGTATTTCTTTGTTGTGACAGTTAAGCTTAATTATTGCTGTCTCAGTTGATAACTCGGTAACTGCTGTTGTTGGAATGAGCTAACTGATGAAATGCAAAATGAGTGAAATCACTGTCATCTTCCAGTAGATGAAACTCTGTGCAAGCTTGCATTTATGCCATCTAATATACTGAGACTTTAGTACTTCCAGTGAGGCAAAGGGTAGGTTTGAACTTAATGTAATGTATTCTTATTGTGCTGACATGTGAATGTGAGAACTCTTGGCTATTGTCCAGCATTCAATACAAATCTACAGGTAACTCCTTGAAAGGGAGATATGGCAATTCAGTACAGTAAAATACCTTTAGTACAGTGCAAGGTGTTTTTGGAAAGTATTTTTCAATGCTAATAGATAACTAGGTTTTCACTAGCTTTAATTTATAAAGCTAAATATGTTTAAATTAATTTGTAAAGTTTCCTGGTTTCCTGAAATGGCATTGAAATACAGACATTTTACTGGTGCTCCTTGCTGGGTGTTTTGTTTCCCAGCTTTATGTTTAGGCTCTCCCTTTATTTTGGGAAGAACAAAAAGGTTGCAAGTAGCAATTTTTGAATTTTTCTCCTGAACATTGTAATTAAAATTTGTTGTGTGTGTCTGGAATGTATCTCTCAGTTTTTGGCTGCATAGAATTTATTTGATTCAAAGACTGATGAAAGTTCATTGTAGCTTAGTAACTTGCTAGAAGTGCTATGTGATGTGTCTAAACTGCTGTTTTGTGACTTAGCTACTGAGCAGCATGTGAGGCTGATAGTGTTTGTTTTCAGGAGAATGCAAGATAGCTCCTGTATCAGCAGAACTTTGTAGAAAATAGAGGCTGTGCAGATATTTTTTTTTTTGCAATTGCATAGCTGCAACGTTTTTGAAGGAGGGTGGAGGAATATCAGGCAAATCTGTTCCTTCATGAAGGATCTGGAGCAGGCTGTCCTGACAAACTTGACACAACTGATGAAGGCTATTAAGGAAAAAAATCATGAGCCATTTGAAAAGGAAATTGTGTCATTGTAGCAAAATTGTAAGACACTGTTTCCAAACATGAACAGATACTTGGGATTCAGGATTCCTCGTAACTTCATTTTCTGTTGTTTTGGTTTTTTTTTCCCATATTTGTAACATTTAGGCCATTTGCTTTTGTTGCTGTTACCTCACTTTCAGAAAGCCTTCAAGTCTCAATATGCAGTTTGTAAAACAGATCTATGTTGAGATTATATATGGATGGAGAAAAAATCTAGGACTGCAAGGATGTATTGATAAACCTTGAGGCACATTATACATTTCATACTTGTAATTACAGGAAATGAACCAGTGTGTCACAATAGTATTCAGACACTTCCTGAGTTAATGAATTACAGGGTTGTATTATCTTGTTTTGTGATAGTAACATTGAATAGTCTTTGAAAAAAAGCTTCGAAGTAAAAATGCAGGATATGTTTGTGAAGTAGGGAAGAAAGCGATAATACATGACAATCTATTCAAAATCTTTCCAGTATGCATTTTTAAGTGTTTACAAATACAGGGTATGTGATCAGTACAGCTAATTTGATTCCTCTTGGTTTAGCTCTTGGGTTTAATAATACATGTATATTTGGGGGTTTTATGTGTTTTTTAGTCACAGCTGATCCAGCATTGTCTTCCTCTGTTCAACTGCATTAAATTTCTCTACTTAGCAGTTGCTTATTTTTTTGTTTTGCAGCTGATAGAATCAGCATGCACAATGGATGAAGCAGTAGCTGCTGGTTTGAAGCTCAATAACAAAGGTATGTTTAACAAAAAAACCCCACAAAACAAAAACAACACCGAAACTTTAGAAGCTGTAGCTAATTCAGTGAACTTGTTTGGGAGATATTTAAAAAGTGGTTAAGCTTCTGCTAAAAGTTAGAGTGATGTTTTTTTATTGTAATAACATAAAATTGAATTAACAGGCTTTGCAGGGAGAAAGATAAATAGAGGATGTGGACCAAAATCTGTAAAGAAAACCATGAAGAGGAATTTGTTCTGTGAGGCTCAGGATTGCTTTGCTTGTAGGTTCTTAAGTGATTCTGTTCTTGCTGGCTCCTTCTTTGTCCAGAACTTGAGGCAAATAGTAAGGGATTAACAGAAGTAATTCTAAATGTTCTAGGTAAGCAGTCTGGTAGTATGGAAAGAATGTATGGGCTATGTAGTCGTTAATAAGTAGATATTGTTTGTATCAAGGCCTGTCAGTTTTTTGTTCAGGTTATTTTCAAGACCTGCCTGTAATTCTGAATAAGAACTGTTAGTCGTAAACATTATACAGACCTCCCTGGTTCTCTAGCAAAACATCACGCAAACCGTGCTTTTGAATTCTCAGAACTTATTTAGGGGTGTCTGTTCTGCACCTCAATTTACACAGTCTCATACTGTTACCAAAACAAACAAAGCAAAACAAAGAAACACATTTTGTGGGAATGTGTTCTAAGTGTTAGATGTGTAAAATGGTCATAATTCTTGGGCTTTGGGTTTGTTTCTTGACATCACTCAAGTCCAGGGCTAAGTCCTGTCTTATATTTTTGATTTGTTGGAGTTGGTCAGGGAAGAGTGGAATGCTGATATTATAAAAGCAGATCAGCCATCTGTTTACAGTTCAGTTGTCCAAGGTTTTCCTGAAGGATCTTTGGAAAAAGCTGTTTATGACCACTCTTGATTATTTAGTTGTTCTGAGTAGTTCATACATCTTTCCATGCAAGATCCTATGGATTTGGAGCAATATGTCTAGGAGTAAGTATATGCTGAGGGAGAACTGTTTTACTTCTGTTTTTAAAGTACACATTTTTTTTGCTTATCTGATTCCCTCTCCTGTACTTACTATATTATCATTTTCTTATTTTCATATAAAAGTGCAAAGATTTTTAACAATTTCCAGGAAGCTTTAAGATCACTCAGACTAATTTAAATGAAGGGATGCTTTTGTGTTTTGTGTTGTTTGATGGGGTTTTTTTTTAACCAACCAAATAATTTTGAGTTTATCACTGAGTGCATGGTCAGATTCTATAGATGGAAATTCTTGGATACTGGCAATAGGAAACAAGGCTGGCATGTTTTGAGAAATACACTGAGTGCTGCTGTTCCTGGAAGACTGATTACTTTTCAAAGGTTTTGATAAATATTAATCCAATTTAAGCTAATATATATCCTTAAACTTTGTTGCACTTCACAGTATTTGAACTAAATCACTTTGATTTCTGGTATGTAGGCCCTGCCTTTTGGCCATTTTTGTGTTGATTTAAGAATGTTGTTTCACATCCTTTTAATATGAGCCATAGAGAAGTCTTCTTGGCAGCAAAATTCCCACTAATCACAGCTGTTGTATAAAATATTTAGTTAGGAATAAGCATGCCTGACAGTGATGGTATAAATCACCTAATTTTAGACACATTTTTTAAAAATGGAGGCATTAATGAACATCTGCTTTAACTGTGTCAATTTCAGATATGCTTTACTTGTGAAATGTTGACTGTGTGAGAGGTCAAGGCAAGATACAGTTTTGCGAAGCACAGCTTTGTGAAAAGTGTGACCTTGAATTTTTCTATCCTTTCAAAATTACAAAACTTGTATTTATAGCTTGAATTCAGTAGTTGTATAGAGCTAAAACAAGAAACATTGCAGATTTTTTGAAGATGTGACAAATTGAAAATACATGTCTAAGATGTGAAGTTGTAGTAATACCTGTTGTTTGTGATTTGTTTCTGGTGTTGATTTCTGTACATCTTGCAAACCATGGAAGTGGTGGGTGTGCTTCTGAGCTGAAACCTCATGTGAATCTGTCTGGTATTCACTGCTTTTTGAGCAGTCAGAAATTACTGTTTTCTTTTACCATGATGAGGGAAGTCACAGTAAGAAAAGGCTTTTTTTTTGTTAGAGGTAGCAGCAAGTAACAGGGGAAATAATTACAGATGCTCCTCTAAATTCTGACCCCTTGGAGCAGCTTTACTCATTTCTCATTAGTTACAAAATTTATGGGGAGAAAAAGGATTCCTCTGGAAGGCCTGGTGTACCCTGCCTGCACTCTAAGGATGATTCCTACCTAACAGTAAGAGTTTCTTTATCCCTTCAGCTGTATACTGCCTTAGCACAGAAAGCAAAAATTAAGTGTACTTTCCAAAGTGGATATCTTCAGAAAGTTGGGATTTTTTTGTCATTTGCAAATGTGGTGGGTTTCTGAAGACCACAGGTTGATTTTTAAATAATTCTGTATTGATGGGTTCCTGAGACCATGGTTTTCCAGATCCTTTGTTTCAGTTCAATTGCCTCTAAAATTGCTCATGATGGGGCTTCCTTCAAATGCTATTGGGTGCTCAGCTGTGACCTAAAAGCAGGAAAATCTTTTAAATACTCTTATATCCAGCCCGTCTATTTTTTTAGGGCAAAGAGGTTTTCAGGGTCACTGTTCACATTCAGAATTATCCATCCTGAATACAGTGTTAATTGAGCTTAAGAAATAATAGCACGAGGTCTCGAATGACTTACAGTACTTGACCCAGCAGCAGCCTGACAGCTCCTAGTTTGGATGTCAAAACAACCACACGTTTCTCAGGGTTAAGCTAGTAGCAGGCATTTTCCTGGCAATATTGTTTAAATTAGGTCTTGGGCAGAAAGATCAATGTCTGAATGGTGAAGGAGAGCCTCCGCTGGCATATTCTCTGGATGCTTTGAACTGTGCCTATTGTATTTATTGTGGCCTTCCAGTACAAGTAAGATGGAGAGGGACTATTTACAATGGCATGTAGTGACAGAAAAAGGGGAAATGGTTTCAATTTGAGAAGGTAAGTTTAGATTAGAAATCAGGAAGGAATTCTTTACTGTGAGGGTAGGGAGGCACTGGACCAGGTTGTCCAGAGAAGTTGTGGATGCCCCATCTTTGGAAGTGTTCAAGGCTGGGTTGGATGGGGCTCTTAGCAACCTGATCAAGTGGAAGGTGTCCCTGGCTACAGCAGGGGTTTGGAGCTAAGTGGTCTTTAATGTCCCTTCCAGCCCAAAAAATTCTATGATTCGATGATATTTTTGCCTAAATATATATAAATACATAGACTTCAAAAAAAATCTTAACAAAGTTTTCTGTTATCTCTTGCTAGATCTATAATCTCAGGAAGAGTTGCTAGTACTCTACTTTTCTTTGGGATGTTTTAATAAATTATTTCTTTCAATTTTTACATGCTACTTCTCTGATGTCAGAGTGAATGACTATAGTAGAAAATTTATTTGAAAGTATTTCCACACGGTGTCTTGTACAAAGATTTGGCTACTTAATGTTCCGAAGTTAAAATTTTTTGATTATCCAGACAGTCTTCTGGATTGGAAAGCAAATGTGCTTTTTGTGTGTGTGTGTGGGTATGCTCATTCACTGGTCTCCCAGGGCAAGCTGGGAGGGGAGGTTGGCCAGAGATGCTGGTATCAGACACCAAAGCTCTGCAGGCACTTACTATTCCAGAGAAGATCTAACTTCCAGTACTATTTCAGATCACAAACTAGGAATTTTCACAGTAATTTGTTCTGGTAGTGCTGCTTCAAGCCAAGCTGGTGTGCAGAAATACTGGTAACGTGTTCTTGCCTTCATGAACCATGCACAGCAGCAGTCTGGAAGTGCACCTGGCTGGGCAGGCCTTAGTGCTGAGATGATAATCTCCTGATAATCACCAGGGCCCAAAGATAGTCAGAAAGTTATGGCTCATGTGGACTATTTGTAAGTGATAAGGTTATCACAGACTTAATATGCATAGTTTTCTTTGAGACGTCTGGATTTAATGTTGAAAAGCATTTGGTAACTGCTCTGGTGTGTACCTGAGCCAGAAATCAGTCATCAGCGCTTCCAGATTGGCAGAGATGTACATATTCCAACAGACAGATGGGCTTCAGCCTGGAAGAAATACCAGCTTGAGTAAAACCAGACACAGATACACCTTTATGCAACCTCTGTGTAATAACATGTGGCAACTATAAAAAAAATAATAATTAAATGCTATTTTGGTTGTTATATATGAGAGGTAATTACTTGATTAATTACCAGACTGCAGAAGATAACTTAGAGGTAAATAAGCATGTATCTTCAAGCAGCTGCTTTGCTTCAAGTTTCAATGTATCTGTGTTCTGTAGTAGGAAACTGTTACGGAGACTGGTAAACATTGTGAGGGTAACAAGTAGCTACTGCATTGTTGTAGTAATTAAAATCTCCTACTGTTTTGAGGTGAACTTAATGAAAGGAACTAATTCTTCTTTTCCATCTCAATTCTTTTTAAAGCTGCCTCTGGTAAAAGGAAACTAAGTGATTCTCCCACAAATTGCAAAACCAAAAATGAGCGAGTTGCAAAAAAGTCAAAAGCTAGTTATGTAAGTACTGTGCTTTTCATTTTGTGCATTGTAAAATAAATTTAATTACCTGACTTGGTCAGTGACAGTGGTGTGTTTTATCAGAAAATTAAGTCAAATCAGATCTTGACATCTGGATGAGTTTTTTTGTACTTTTTTATTGTTAACACTCTGAATGGAATTACCTGATTTGTTCTTTAGTGCTTGTGGATTTGTGTCACACCAGCCAGTTCACTGCTTTGGTGGAAGTAGTTGATGGCAGGTAGCAGTGTGTGAGGCTCTGAGTACCATTCAGTTTTTGTGAACATCAATGGGAACTACAGGTTCTGGATCACTTTTCCTCCTCAGGTCATTCCTTATATTTCCTCAAGCACACAAAGTTAACATCTTTGTTGCTGTATCTGCTGCTATTCTTTGTTATAGATGTTGCTTATATATTTGAAAGTATGACTTAAGGAAATCTTTAAAAATGATGAATTGGTTACATTTAAAGGAATGACTACTTTGACCTCTGCTAATTAATTGGAACTATGTCATGATCCTGGTTTGGCACATCAGCTTGATTTCTGTTCTTAACAGTGTCATTACAATTAAAGGGGGAAGGATTGGAAAAAAACAAATGTGAAATATGGGTTTTTAGAGCTTATTATAGAGAACTATAGTGAGAACTTGCAGGTTTTTTCTTAGTCTTCCTTTTCCTTGTGATTCTTAAGACCAGAGCATACTTGGGCAGCTCTTCTGTGGATTCTAGCTGCTCCCTTAGTGACACTGTAGGCTCATTGAGGAAAGGAATAATGTCCTCTGTTACTCAGAGTGCCTCTGGAAGATGTGGTTTGTCCTCCCTCAGAAAAGTAAATGTTGATAACTGCTGTAGACAAGTAGCTCTGTAACCACTTTGTATTCAAAGTTCTAGGAAGAAACTCATGTAGTTCTTTGTGGTGAATACAAAGCAGAGCAGCTTGTGGCCCGTGGAAGTTGTGGCACTTATTGACTTCCATTTAGCAGGCTGGTAGTAGCTGTTAGTGAAGCTATTGTTGATGAAAAGTTTTACCAGTTTTTGATGGGACTCCATGATGCTGTGACATAAAATTTATGGATTTTTTTTACTCATAAATCTTTAATATAAACACACCATTTGACACGTTTGTAGGCTGTGGTGGGTTAAACACTGCATGCTTAGTAAGCTAATCTGATTACCAACCCTGATGTCTTCTGCCTTAAATATCATCCAGAATTGCTAATAACTTTTGATTTTAAAGCAAAATTAACTAGACAGTTCTAAATTATTTATATTTTGGTATATAACTTTGCACTGTGTCTGCTTATCAAGTAAAGAGTCCCAGTTTTCCATGACTGAAGACATTTTCTGTTTGTGAAAGTTTTGGTCTTTCTTTGATCATTGACTATGTATGAGGAATCACTTCAGTTTGAATTTATCTTAAGTACTTTTGTCATTTAGAGTAGCTGCTTAAGGTTAAGCAATACTGAGGTTTTCTTCTGTTTCTGTAGTTGTAATTAATATTAAACCTAATAGGTACCTTTTTTTAACATAGCTGGATGACTCAGAACCCAAAAGACAATGGGAGAGGCAAGAGATGCTTGTGAAGAAGTTGCAAGGTACATTCCCTGGATTGGATAAGGAGGTGAGCTGATGTCTCCCTATGGCACATCAGGTTTTGAGTTCTTAAGAAAACTGCAGCTGTTGATAGTCCATATGAAACAGTTCTGATACCAACAGCACTTTTGGAAAGAGCCCAGGGTAGGAAGGCTTTTGCTGTTCCTGATGTTAGAATGTAGCTTGTCCTGAATTGAGAGCTGTGGGATGTGGTTGGGACTACATCTAACTTCTCTTCTTACATTTCTAGCCCTAGGACAAGCCTAGTATAGTCAAATTTGATTACTTACTGAAAAGTGCTAGGGGAAATGATCCCTCCCTCTCTCACTCTTCTCCCCGAGACTGCTAAAATATATTTTGCAATTTGTATTACTTTAGTACTTGATGGTCCTCGGTGACTGCTTGAGACCTTTCAGTAGGGTGCTTGAAATAGTTGGAAGCAAAGCTTGTTCGTGTGTTCTTACACTTTTGAAAATTGGAGTGCAGTTCTGCCTAAACTGAGTGTACAGAGCCTGAAGAGTTTTCTCATTTTGATTTCCTTTTGTTTTGAATCATCTGATTTACAGGGGTTTTATTTGCTGATGTTATTTGGCACAGACATTTAGTTTGTGCTTATCTCACCACAATGCAAAATGTCTTATTTTTACTAGGAGCTGAGAGAAGTACTTGAGGAACATAACTGGGTGTTTCATGATGCACTGGAAGCCCTGAAAATATTTGCAGACGATGAGGAAGGTAAAGACAGATTTATAATTCATTTTATCCAGACAAAACAGAGTTGTGATGCAAATAGTTTTGAATGTTCAGCAATGACAGTCCTGACAGCATCATGCTTAGAAACTTGCTCTTATACTTGTAATTAACATTATAGGGAGGATGAAAGAAGGAAGCTCACTTTTTCTGTATTTTTATTTTTGCGCTCTAACTAGGGATAAATGTCTTTGCCCTGCTAATACAGATAGGCATAAAAAGTTGTAATTACCTAAGGGTGTTAGAACTCTAAGCACGGAGAATTTCCTGCTCCCTTCTTGCTTGTTTAATAAATGGGTGGTTTCTAACTGCAGTATTTGTAAATTACTGGTTTCTAAACTAGTAATTGCAAATAACTGCATAGGAAACAAGCAATATATGCTATTTTGTCCTTTTAAAATGTATTCTAGGAGAGGAACATACTAGAAATTGGCCTTGAGTTATTCAACCTGTTTGTAAATACCAGTACTTTAAACATGGCGTGGAGAAAACCCAATGATTGCAAGTAAATCTGCAAGTTATAACTTAAGTCCTATTTAAAGAGTTGATTACTTTTCAGTGTGTTACACAGCTGTCAGATATGTACAAGTTTTGCTGTATCAGCTATGTAAGTATTCTTGGGATAGGGTAGTGTTCTTAATTGGATTCTTTACAAGTGGGGAGAGCTATCACTGCTCAGGAAGTTGTGTCCTTATTGATGCTTTTAAGAAGGCAGATGACAGGGTTGGACTCAATCAACAGCAAGCTAGGATTGGGCAGAAGAGAAACTTCTGCACTGCAAGTGCTCTCTTGAAATGAAGGAGTCAAAACCCTTACAAGGCACTTCTGAAAATTACTTGCTTGTGGTGTGTTAAATAACTTCTGTCTTATTTCAAGGCAGCTGAATTATTTTGGTTGGAGATGCCTCATTCTTTGAGTTTTTTTAACAAGTGCATGTTTTCATTGTTCCACCCCAAATACTGTACTACAGTGCATTAAAATGGAAAAAAATATATCATTTTCTTGGGAAAATAAGGCTTTTTTTCTCAAGTCAGCAGAATTAATACCTCTGCAGTCAGGTACAGTGGGACCAGTATCTCATCTTAAGAATACATCAGAGTTCTTAACTGTTTGCTCTTACCTCAGAGCTTCTGCAGCTCACAAATATTACATTACGTTGATCATCTCTATTTCAAGACACTTAAAACCTTCTTCTATTTGAGCATTATATAAATGAGCTTTGCTTATCTTGTACTCATAGTTGGAGCTATTTACATACGTTATACAGATTTTCTTTTCTGTTTTCTTAGTAACACCTGCTGTGTTTTCTTAGTAACACCTGTTCTTGTGTATTAAATACTAGAACTGTTCTTTACAGATCTGTAGGTTTTATTTTGGAAGAACAACTTGTGTTTTCATCAGCCCCATTCCAATATGTGTTGACTCGTTGCCTTCTGTATTGCATGCATAGGTGTGGAATTTCCTCCCAAAAGGAAAGTTGCTGACTTGACCGAAGCTTCCACTGAGAGCCATAGTGAGGAGAGTAAAGATAAGACAAAGCAGAAAGCTTCTGAGAAAGAGCAGAATGGCTTTCAGAAAAAGGACAAAGGCAAAAGCAGCATTTGGAGGGCTGAAAGAGAAACAGAACACATGGAGGATGAGTCTGCTTCCGAAGATGGCGGAAGCTCCCTGGATGAGGACTACAGCAGTGCTGATGAAGTCATGGAGGATGGCTACAAAGCGAAAATCCTCAGCTTCCTGCAGGATGCTTCCCTGAGTGAACTGACTCTGATTCCCCAGTGTTCTCAGAAAAAGGCTCAGAAGATAATAGCGCTCCGGCCCTTTAACAGCTGGGACGCTCTGGTAGGTCTGCATTCTTCCTTTCCTATCCCCAGCCTGCCTAGAGTCAAGGTGGCTTCAGCCGAGGGAGGCTTAGATGGGTGGCCTTACCCTCATTAGGCTGAAATGCTATGTTACTCCTAAGCCAATAGCGTTTCAAATAGTGTCATATGACCTGATTTTGAATGAATTAAGGGGTGATTTTTATGGAAAACTCAAGCTGATTGGCTGACAGTACTGTCACTCACTGTGTAGCAGAGAAAGTTGGTTGATTTCACTGCAGAAGGAGAAATTAGAGCTTTCACTGTGAGAAGGAGGTGTTTGCTAGCCTATTCTGAGCTCTTGTAGCTGACAACCCATGCAGAAGGGAAGAACGTGGCAGGACCTTTACTGCAGACACTTGTATAGCAGCAGCAGCAGCTTCCAGGGTAGCTCCATGATTGAAGAAGACAGCATGGATGTTTTTATTTTCAGGCAAGAAATGGCTGTTCTCTTTTTTTTTTTTTTTCTTTTCTTCTTTTGTGCCTTTACCTTACTGCAGTGCAGCTTAGTGTCTAGCATGGTTTTGCTAGCTAAGCAATGCAGCCATTTTTAGTGCAGTGAGCCGCTGTGTTTTTATTAATGAAAGGTAAAGCATGAGAATGCTCAGCCACAATCCATCACAGAAAGGAAAGCAATATCTGTTGGTAAGTACACTATCTACTGTCGCTTTGTTGTTACTTTCGGATGTTTACCATGGCTTTTTTGTAGACTTCACATTTCATACAGTTTCAGTTAACTGCAAGACCTCAGACCTGCTAAGAGCAATGTTCTGGTAAGAAATTTGAAGTGTGTTACAGCAGATAGTCTTGATTTAATTTATTATTGCTTTGAATTTTAAAAGTAACTGTGCACAGGCCTTTTTACAGAGTAATTTGTGTTTATTCATCAGTGTGCTTTCTGAACCCCCCCACTGATGTATGCAAGAACTTCTTCAATATGTGTAAAACAAAAACATTTATTATTCAGTGTGTGAAATATATTACTACAAAACAGTAAGAGATGCTAAACAGAATTTTAAGGAAAACAAAATGATCTTTGTATGTTGTATTGTAAGGGGAGGGGGGGAGACAAGAGGACGATACTTGAAAAAAATACAGGGTACTGGTATGCTGCAAAAGAAATCCGTTTTGCCCCAAGCCTTTGGCTTCTCACAGAACATCTGTCATACAGCTATTACTTTCTAAACTTGTTGGATTTTGTCTGAGCTTAATTCTTTGCAGAAGTATTTGCTACAGGGCTCTTCTCCTTTTCTGTGTAAAATATTTTACGGGGAAAAAAAAAGCTGCATGGGCCTGTTTGCGTTCAAAATTTGTCTTTCATGAAGATTGCTGGTGTCAGCAGCCACATGTTTATGTAGTATTGCAAATACTTGCCCAGAGTAAAAGTGGTTTGCAGCAGATTTTAGCAGATGTTTTGTATCAATGTGGATTTAGTTGTTTATAAATATCCAGTAGCTCAGTAACACAGCATTTTTCCTACCAATTAATAAGGGTAGTTAGAATAATGGAGAGAGATGATTCAGTTAGAGCATTAAATAAATTGGCTTAGTTTTAAGGTCTCTTTTTACTCTAATGGTATCTTGTGTAACACAATGTGAAGTACTACAAGTTGTTACCACGTGTTCATTATTAGAATTGAGGAAGATATTAAGGATCTCAGTCTGAGATTAAAACTAAAGCCTACTTATTTGTAAATTGAATGTTTTATTCCAGGAAAACATAAATGAGAATGTATTTTTTTTTATTCTAGACTTTTTATTTTTTTTAATTTGGACTAAGCTATTTTGTTTCCAAGAGGATTTAAATTAATTTCATAGGCTTATAAGGTTAATAAGAGCACTTGGAAATACTTACTCTTTGGAGTAGATATTTCAAGTGTTTAACTTGATCTAGTAATGTTTAAAACATATAGAAAGAAATTTAGTAGACACAGTTCTCAAAATAAATGGAGAGAGCTGAAACTGTCCTTGCTCACGAAGATGAATTAATTTGGCAGTTTAGAAATGCCTTCATTGTATGTCAAGTACATTTTCCAGGAGGATAGTTTTATCCAGTCTTTAGCGCTGGACATGACTGTCTGGGAGAGCCTCCTCTCAAATGCCAGCTTGAATAAAGAGTACTCGGGTATGTCCTTGAGGCTTTGGGTGTATGTCTCCTTGGAGAAGTAAGCAAGGTGTGCAAGAACTGGTGGCCTCTGTCCAGAATACATTGTGTGCACACGGAAAGTAGTAGGTAACAAAAGAAATTGGAATGTGTTCTCTGAGAGTGCCTCTCTCATCCTATTCACTTCCTACTCATAGCCAAAAATGGCACACTGCTTTCTGAAGCAAAGGCTTTGGAAAGATGGGCCCAGGGGCTTCTGCAAAGCCCAAGCATGGAGCTGGGACATAAGAGGAAGTGTGATGGGCGAATGGGAGATAATGAGGAGCAGCTCTGCACAGCTGGGAGTTAGGGATTAGAATACAAAGGGAGCAGATGAGTGGTAGACGAACTAGAGGATGGTCAGCAGAAAGCATGGCTGTGAGTGCTTCGAGGAGAGGCAGGGATGAGCTCCAAGACTGTCATCATCTGTGGAGGGGAAGGTGAAGCAAAGGATGAGCCCAAGCTGAAGGACAGGGTGGAGAAGAAAATTCACCTCCCTGTGCCTAGGTCTGATGTCATATGTTAGGTAGATCTTGTGCAAGGGGCTGATGTTCGGTAATGTTTCTCAGTGCAGGCCTGCTTTGTGCTGGCTTCATGCTCTATACCTCCTTCAGACAGACATGAGGTGATAAACCAACCAAGTTAAGACAGACCTCTTCTCCTGGTGGGTCTTGTCACAGGGTCATAGAAATCCCAAGCTGGAAAGGATGAAATCAAAACCCAACACAGGACAGCCCCAGGAATCACACCCATGCCTGAGAGCATTGTCCAAACAGTTCTAGAACTCTGTCAGGCTTGGTACTGTGACCACATCCCTGGGGAGCCTGTGCCAGTGCCCAGCCACTCTCTGGGTGACGAACCTTTTCCTAATATCCAGCCTAAACTTCCCCTGTCACAGCTTCAGGCCATTCCCTCAGGTCCTGCCACTGGTCACCACAGAGAAAAGACCTGTGCCTGTATCTCTGGTTCCCCTTGAGGAAGTTGTAATTTGCAGTGAGGTCTCCCCTCAGTCTTCTGTTTAGCTTCTCATTTCTCTTTCCTGTTTGCTTTGAGGTCCTGATGATACCCCACTGGCACACATTGTGGGCCAGCAGACAGCATGGTTGCTTTCCTTGATGGAAGTACTTCTGGGCACCAGTTGCCCTTCTTCCCAATCCTAACTCCCCTAAAAAACTCGTTGGGGCTTATTTATATTTTAACAGCGCTCTCATTTCCAAACTGTGGCATTGCCCCGTGGTGGAAACTGCAGCACTCAGCAGTCACGTAAGGGCAGTACCTGCCCGGGATTGCTGTGTGCCAAGAAACAAAAGCAGAGCCAGACTGGCTCCCAGAGGAGCTCTGCTGGGGTTTTGGGGTCTGGGTTGGTGGTCTTGCAATTTTCTGCTTCCTCTGGTAAATGTGGGAGAGAAACTAGAGAGGGTTTAATGCTATTCAGTTTCATATTTTTAAGGTGTGTAACTGTTACCTGTTTGGATTTCATTTTAGTGTAAAAACATGTATCTATGTGAGACTTGCTGTATCCTCTCATTCTTGGCATTCACAGTATTATTCTGTCACAAAATAAGCTGTCTTATATAGCATTTAAAGTCTTTGTGGTCTACAGAAATTCTTACAGAATACACACAAGCTTAACGCTGAATGGAAAGTGTTACATTGAATTGCTGACACAGCACATCACTTTTAGAGAAATGGGGGAACTGAGTTGTCAGAGGTGGATCTTGCCCATCATATTTTGTGCACTGCAGCAGTATATGAGCTAGGGGATACAGACTCAAGGGAGTGTAGCTCCACCTTTTTTGTCATGTCATTTTCTTTGGCTGCACATATACAAACTGTCATAAAAACCAAACTCCAGAACCACCTTGCACCAAAGCCAGCTGAAGGGAAGGAGTAAATGCATCAGGTAACAATGGGAAGCTGCTTACAGTGGAAATGGTGTTTGTTGATCGAGGCTGAGGCTGACTTTCACGCTTTGGCATTAAAGAGAAAGCCTTCATCATCTTGAAAGTGGTGTAAAGTAAGTCCAGAGTGTGTTGGTGCAGCAATTCCTAGTGTGCTGGGAAAGCTCATGGGTTCAGTTTCCATGATGGTCTCACATTTTTGGGCCTTAGTTGAAAAAAGCTGAACTTGGGTGGGTGTCAGGACCTCTAGAAAGCAAAGGCCACCTGTGAATCTGCTTTGTGTTCTGAGCAGGGTAACACCCTGTGATTCACATACAAACCAGTGGCTAAAGTATTTCTTTATACGTGGATGTTAATGTGCTGACATGAAACAATACAATTTCTGTTAATAACATATGGCTTAATTCTCCACACCTTTATTTATGGATTACAGGATTTCTATTCATGCCAACCAAAGCTTTAGTCATCAAAACAAATGTCGAAATTTTGTAGGCACCTATTAAAAACTGTATTCTTTTTTATTTCTAAATGGAGGTGTCTATTTAGAGAACACCTTTACAGGTGTTGACATGTGCACCTTAGCCTGGTCTAACCTGTGAGTGTTGGTAAACTTTCTGAGGTTTGTTTAAAATGGAAAAAAACACAAACAAAAATATACCCGCAAACTGTAATTGCATCACTCCATTTATTTTTAAAATATTTTCCTTATAAAAGCTGGTTTTTAAATTCTACTTTAATCTGGTTATACTTTTCACCTTAACAAAACTTGCTTTTACTCTGCAATGTGGCCATATTGTGAGTTACTTGAGCTGGATCATACAACTCCTTTTTTATGGAAGGAATTCCTGGAGGATATATACATATGAAGTCTTCTGCTAAATTTTAGCAGATCCCTGGTCTAAAATTAAAAAAACATCTGTGTGGAAACTACTTCTGTTTTAATACAAGGATGATAAATCCAAAGCATCTTTTATTCTTCAATTCTTCAAATCCATTAATAAACAAAACCCAAAAAAAGCCTGTTCTTTACAGTGAAATACATATAAATTTTGTCATCTCTTTTTCTTTGGCTGCACATATACAAACTGCCACAAAAACCAAACTCCAGAACCACCTTGCACCAAAGCCAGCTGAAGGGAAGGAGTAAATGCATCAGGTAACAATGGGAAGCTGCTTACAGTGGAAATACTCGAGAAAATACTATAATTACAAATATGACCCCAGTTACTGCAGAAACATATTTAGTGGTAGGTTTTATACTTTCTGCAGATGACTACATGGAATTTAGGAGAAATTGATGGGCCTGCTGAGGGGCCTGCTTTGATACAACCTCAGGCTGCTTGTCTCTGACATGTAAAATATTCATCCTGTGATGAAGATCTGAAATTTAGAGGAAGGAAATACACAGTAGCTAGTGTGGACTTGAGGAAGCAAGTGGTGGAAGCAAGGCTTCTTTGTACTGACAGTACTTGGTGACCACAGAAAACCCAACATAATGCCCAAGTCCAGTTTGACTACCTTTGTGGTAGAGTTAGAACTGGAATCAGATAATGCTGAGCCCCAGAGAGACCCATAACAAAATATAGTAACCTTCATTATAGATTCTTTTGTTCGCCTTGATGCCTACATTATGCTTACATCTTATACCTTTAGTATCCAGTAGGGTTTGTTTAAAAGGGCATCTTAATGAGAATCAGTGCTTTTTTTTCCTTCCTTTTGGGGTTTTGATTTGTTACTGTGCCTAGCCTTCGAAGATGGCTTTGCACTGTTTGTTACCTCCTGTTGAGGATTTTGAGTTTAAAGCACTTGTATTTTACTTCAGAAACTGAAGAGAATTTGTATCTCTTAAGATTTCAAGTTTCATGATGTGCGGAGCTCCAATGATGACCTTCATTGTGGATTTACACGGTTTGCAGTGGGCCAAGTGTAAGGAGTACATGGAGTTTTGAGAGAAGATCAGGATGCTGTTGTTGTCTCCTACTTGAATTACTGCATGCAGCAGCTGTGGATTTTTACTGCAGCTGCTTTACCAGTATTCATAGATTTTTTTATTATGGTTTTTTTTCAGTTTGCAAAAATGACAAAGACTTCTGGTTTGTCAGAAGATATAGTGTGGAACTGCAAGATACTGCTGAAGGAGAGGGATGTGGTTCTAAAGCTTATGAATAAATGTGAAGACATTTCCAATAAACTGACAAAACAGGTAACCAGGATTACTAGAGACGGAGAATATGGATGGAACATAGAGCAACCCTCCATTCTGAATCGCAGGTATCTCTCATTTTTATGCTTTAGAAGGATGATGGACAATAAGGTGTACTTTCGAAGACTGATTTTCAGCACTGCAGTCTCTGAGAGTAGAGGTGCAGATTTTTGATACTTAGTAGCTCTCAGTGAGCTAGATGGTGATGTGCAACACTTGAGAGACTCTAACAGATTTTTCAAGTGTATCAGGAAAGGTGGGTGGGCAAGATAAGAGCATAAAAATTCTAACAGGTTTTATTTTGTCCCATTTCTGGTGAATGTAACAGCCAACCTTAAGCAATGGAATCATGAGTTGTCAACTTATTTCAAATAAAAGCCCAAGCAAACCTGCTTCTGTAATGGGGGATAGATTTCAAATAGGATTCCATTTCAAAAATGCTACATTGGAACAAACCTGAGCAAACTGGATGGGTTTGTCAGCTGGATGAAAGACGTCAGAAGTTCAGTTGTACAAAGTAATCTGAAACTCGGCATCAGTTGGAGTGGCAGCAGGGATGTGTTGTAGGGAAGGATTTCTTTCAGGGATGTAAATTGGTAAGGATATCCAAATGGATATTATGAGGTATGGATATGGTGGAGGGTATTATCCTAAGGGTTAGGAAATGTTGGGGTGTAGTGGGAATGGCCAAAGTAGCAGCTTGAATTCTAGTTGGATGCTATTACAAGTAAATAGCAAAAGGATTCTCAGCTGTGTGAAGGAAGTGGGGAGGAAGCAGGAAGTCTTTGAAGAAATATGTCAGTGACATTTCTTCTTTGGAGAAAGTGCTGAACTGGGTGACTTGCTGTTGAGTGTGTTTCGTGGGTTGTGTGTTTGGGTTTTTCTTTGGTGCTGACACAAACATTAATTTACAACAGAGCAAAATTAGGGATGCAGCTGCAAAATGCCACTTAATTAATTGTGTGTTTTAAAAATGAGTTATTATGTAACTGCTTTTATCTGGTTGTGTATCACTGATTGTAGAAGAGAAGTACTTCTTGTGTTACTCACCTTGATCATTTTAGATCTATGAAAATGCAATAAGCAACTCAATTTGTGTACAGGTGACTGATTAAGAAAGTTTTTTACTTTGTGTAAAGTAACTTTACACAAGTAAAGTAACAAAAAACTTTGCATTTCTCACTACACAAAGAGGTCTGGAGTGCATTAAAATTAAAGCAGTGTTAAACCTGCCAGTCTCTGATTACCATAAATGGAAAGTTGTGTTTTGTGAAGAAACAAATAAAATGTAGTAATAAGCTTGATTGTTTTCAACAGTTTGAAACTGAAGCCATATCAGAAGATTGGTTTGAACTGGTTAGCACTGCTGTATAAACATGGATTGAACGGCATCTTGGCTGATGAAATGGTAAGTGTGAAAGTGCTTGTCTAAGAACCATTAAAATTTTGCAAAAAAGACGTTGTTAAATCCTTGATTAGAAACCTCAAGCAAATTATAAGTAATTTTAGATTGCAGATGGTTCTCCAAGATCTTAAAAGCTGCTGAACTCTTTTCCGTTTGAAAATCAGAGGTAGCCTAAGATTCATGGACAACCAGAATTGCAAGTCGCATAGTGTCTTCTGATGAAATGGAACCGGTTTCTACCACAACAGGTTGTTTTCAAACCACTGAGTTTAACAGCTCATTTCCTAAAAATATGGTTCATTCTATTTGTCAAGCATTTATTGCACTGAGCCCCTATTTTCTCCATTTCTTCATCAGTTTCAAAACAGACAGATAAGACAGCAAAAAAACAAGGCAGAAACCTCTGCTTCTGCAGAAGTAGCATTTCCACCATCTCTTGTCATGACATTCCCCATCAACTTTGAACTAAGAGAGACAAGCTTATGGGCTTGAGGTTTTGTTAAATGCTGACACCATCTGTAGTTGTACAACAGAAAACACCTTACTGATGCAGCTGCTGAATTTGTGGTCTGTTGTTTTTAATCCTGGCTGCTGTTCATCTTCTGATGAACCATGAATGAAAGTACTGCTTTGCCTTGCTATGACTTAGGCAGTGCTTCTCAATTTCTGTATGTTTCATGTTAGTAAGAATGTGTGTATTTTGTGGTAGATACACAAAATTTTTAAGTTCATGATGCAGAAAACAGGAAAAGTGAGTGTTGATGGAAATGTAGGTTTATCTTAAATCTGGTTCCAGTATTAAATTCCACTTCAGAAACAGCTGGGATACTCTTTGTACAACTGGAATCAAATGGAAATAAACATTTAGTTTCCAAGTAATCATTTTTATGCACCATTGGTTCAGGAGGTAAATTTTTGAAGATTATCTGAGGGATGAACTTGAACTAAAATGAAAAACTTCATAAATTGAGAAGATGAATCTTTGTTCAAATATTGAGCTGAAATGATAATGAAGTTTGACTGAGATTGTACTTAAGAAGGAATTGTTTTCTGTAAAATTGGTAAAACAACAAATTTTCTAATCAGATTTCTAATCTTTACTGGGCCATCACTACACCATAATTGTCTTATGAGCTGAAAACACTTTTACATCCCACAGATTGTAAGTTTTGTTTAAATGGATTTATTTTCTCTTAGGGCTTAGGAAAAACAATTCAAGCTATTGCATTTCTGGCTTATCTCTACCAAGAGGGCAATAGAGGTCCCCATTTGATAGTTGTGCCAGCTTCAACATTAGGTAAGTTAGAAGCTTCAAAAATATTTTTGTTAGGAAAAAAACAAAACAACACACCAGTCGTGGACATACTGTAAAGCAAAGATAATTTAATGAAAGAAAATTTGGTTTACTTATGGTGGTACTCAACTTCTAAAGTAATTTGAATTGGAATGCAGACCATACTGCAGACATTCTTGTTCTGAATTAATTAGACTTATCATGGACCTTTTTTAGATTATCTGTCTCCTTCGAAAAAAATGAAGCTGCTTGTTACAATCTGAACTTGTGTAGCATAGTCTTTTTACTTATTGACTATTGGCTGAACCTCCTAGTCTTCAGGCTGTGCTTAGGGTTAGGTTTCATGACATTTTAAATACTGTCTTTTTTCCTCTTTACTGCACAGCATCTGTCAAAGCAGATGAAAGTCCCAAAATGAGGAGCCTAACTGTCTTTTACTTGTGTGTTCTGATTGTTCTATGGCCTCAGTTGAAATTGGAAAGAGTATGGTGAACTGTCAGCAAAGCTGATGAGGTTGAGCAGAAGATGGTTCTTGATGAACTTAAATTTGGATTTGTTGAATGACAAGGGAAAGTAACAAGTTGAATTTAAAAAGTAAATACTGCTTTTAATATGAAATACTTCATTTGGCTTCAGAAACTTCTCTTGATGTGTCAGAAAAGTTTCCAGTTGTTCAACTTAGGTTTAAAATCTTCCTTTTTAGTGTGCTTTCAAACTCCATTAAAACCTGAGGTGTTTGTAAGAATGTGAACAAAGGTGCTTTTATGAAGTCAGTCTTGGATCCAAATTGTAGAGACAGATTGGCATTGCCTGGGCAGTGCAGTCTGCTGGCGGCTTTCTTGACACTTTGCCAGAGGTGTTTCCTCATCACTGATCTGGGTCCAGCCCCTTCCCAAGTGGCATTCAGCAGAGTCCCCCTTGTGCTGTGGTTTGGGGTCAGCACTTGTGTTGGCTCTCTGGCAGCAGCTTCCCCTTGGGCACAGCAGTGTTGCCTGTGGCCATGGTGCTGCTGCACACCTGGAGCTGCACAGCCGGGATGTCAGGCCTCTGCCTGCCCCCAGAGGCACTGACTCTCCTGGTGACATACTTCTGCAGACAAGTTCTGACAGATGAAGTGATTTGCTTTCTGGGGATTTAACTGTCTAGGGAAGAAACCAAACTGCAAAGTTACACATTGTATTTATTTCACACAGTGGCTACAGACCGTGCAGGGCCTGTTCCTGCAGGACTTTAAAGTGCGAACTGGTTTTTACTAGAAGCCATTTGGGGTTGGTTCAGTTTCTTACATATCAGTTTTCCAGTTTTAAGACAGATGTTTCCTAACCTTCAGGAGAATTTAAAGGGATTAGCATTAAAATCAGAAGTTCTGTTTGATGCTGAGGTGTGAAACAGGAAGACATAATGAAGTATAAATGACTTTGGTTTTCTTTTAATCTTGTCTCACAGATAACTGGATAAGAGAAGTTCATCTGTGGTGTCCTGAACTGAACGTCCTCTTTTACTATGGTGAGGAATCTAGTTGAAAAAGGAATCCATTAATATGGTTGCTTGCATGGCCAGTGTAAGAAAAGATGATTTGCTCATGGCAGTGTTGTTTTAAGACAGTTGTTTAAGGCACAGATTTATTGATGAGTGATTTCTCTGTGGTGTCTTTAATTGTTACATGTATATAAATATATGTGATTGTACTCATTTTATGTTTTGTCCTTCTTTAGGATCCCAAGAAGATAGGAAACATCTCAGGGTGGACATTCATAATAAAGTCGTTGATTTCAATGTGATTGTGACTACGTAAGTACAGTTAGGACCGCAAACGGTGAGCTTTAGTGAGATCCTGCTGACCTCTAGTGGTACAAGAAACCAGAAAATTTTAGGAGTTGGGTTTCAGACAGTGGTTAACTAGGGTTTTATGATTGTGTAAGAGATACTGTGTCATAGGTGTTTTAGATATATGTCTGTCAGCATGTATATTATGGATATTACATTGTAACAGATATCAGCAGATTTTAAGGAAGTGTTACTGAGAGCATTGGCTCATCAAGTAAACTGAAATAATTTGCCAGTAATAAACTGTGTTGTGGTTGGTTACTTCCAGACAGTTTTACTGCCCCTCATGTACCTTCTCCATAACTTAACAATGGTAACAAATTTAATTTGATTGTGATAACACTACATTCATTTTCAGAGAGAGACTAAGTGCAAGTGATATTTGTCTCTGACAGATACAACTCTGCAATCAGCAGCTCAGATGATCGAGGACTGTTCCGCAGGCTGAAGCTTAACTATGCAATTTTTGATGAAGGTCATATGCTCAAGAACATGAGCTCTGTCCGCTACCAGCACCTCATGACAATTAATGTAAGAGGTTTAGTTATTGCTGGGTTAGAGGGGACAGCTCCTGGCTTTTCTGTTTTGTAGTTACAAGCAGGGGGAAAATGGAATATTAACTGCAAAGGTCACATACACATTACTTTAGAGAAACTACAGTATGCAAGTGGACTTGAGTGTTGGTGTGGTGTAAGGAGTGGATCCTGCACAGTGGTCTCTTTCAGGGACGTAGCCTCCCAAAGCAACATAATAAATTTCCTGTACCATCATTACAATGATGCTAGTGCTTGAGTTTCAGTATTAAGCAAGTTCCCAGTTATATCCCATAGTAGCAAAGATTTTAAAGATGCTATTCTGATTACTTGTGCTGAAACCTTGTAGTATTTAAGGACCTGCTCTGATAGGGCTGCGTAAAAAGAGCCAGCTTGAAATTATTTTTTCTTGTGGTTTGCAGCCTGAGTAAGCAGCGTTCTGAAAAAGATTTGAATACAGTTCTTTCTCTGAATATTATGATCTAGCGCTGTAGTATTTGTACAATAATAATAAACTTAAGAGCACTTACTGCAACTTGTTTTTCAAGATTGTGTTTTCATCCATAGCCTTTTAAAAAAGCTGATCTTTAAGCAATAAAACTTGATTGTGCTTGCAATTCAAAACTTGTGCTTAAGTACTGTATTACATTAGAGAAATTCATGTGGGAGCAGCAATGAACACAGTCATCAGGAGGAAAAAAATACCCCAAACAACAACAAAAAAAACCAAACCAAACCAAAAAACCCAAACAAATACACCAAAAAAAAACCCCCACAAAACCCACCACCACCAACCAAAACAAAGCCCAAATAGAACAAGCAAGAAGCCTAATAGATCCAGGAATGCTTTTTTAATTGTCTTAAATTGGTGCACAGTTCCCCACAGATCTGTAAACAATTTTGTTGAGTTAACAAGGAAATGATTCCATTAGTTCCAAATATATATTGTTTAAATAGTTATAATTTAAACCAAGCTCATTTTCTCACTTCTCCATAGCTGTGGGTTTTTTGCCAATAATATTTTTTAGTCTGTTAGAGCAATGTTTCTCATTGCTCTTTCCACTTTGGACAAACAGGCCAAGAATCGCTTGCTGCTAACAGGGACTCCAGTTCAAAATAATCTGTTGGAATTGATGTCCCTCTTGAATTTTGTCATGCCCCATATGTTCAGCAGTAGCACAAGTGAAATTCGAAGGATGTTCTCTTCAAAAACAGTGAGTACCGTGAATTCTCTTCTTGAAAGTAACTTCTTTCTTTTTGCTAGAAGACTGCTTTTGCTGCATAACTTCTGTTTTATTGGTATCTTATGGAAACAGGTAGTATGATTATGAAAATCTATAAAATGAAACAACTGAGTAAACATTTTAAGTTAAAAGATGCTGTAACAGGATATCTTAGAATACTAATGGTTAGGTCAAGTATGTCTGTTTTGGCTGGGGTTTTCATCAATTTAGAGAAGTTAAGGTGGTGGTGTTAACAGTTGAAAGCTTCACAGTGTAATTGAATTCTTTCAATGTTTTCCTTAGAAGAGTGCTGAAGAACAAAGTATATATGAGAAGGAGAGAATTGCACATGCAAAACAGATAATAAAACCATTCATCTTGAGAAGAGTAAAAGATGAGGTAACATTTTATCATTAAAATGATGGGTTTGTGTTACCAAAAAGCCTCATAATCTCTGAGACTAACACTATAATATGAGGCAGAATTACTTGCTGATCTTAAGAAACGTTAATGGGCACTTGCAGACTTCAATGGTCAGTGTTCTGAAGGGGGTAACACTGATTAGCAGGGGAGTGGATCCCACGTATTGCATATAATATATCATGCAGTTCTGGAGTGTGCAGTAACAGTAACATGTTACTTGATGGGGAGGTTGATTTATAATCCAGGTCAAGACCTGAGTTGAATTGCTGTCTGAGTTAGTGAAGTTATAAGCAGTGAAATGAGCCAGGATGAGGAGAATGAACAGAGTATCATAACATCTATAAGACAGTGCAGAATTACTGGTGGTCCACAACAGTACAGGTCTTATCTGGTATCATTTTATTTTGTCAGGTCCTTAAACAACTACCTCCCAAAAAAGATCTCATTGAACTGTGTGCCATGTCAGAGAAACAGGAACAACTCTACTTGGCTCTCTTAAACAAACTCAAGAAAACTATTAACAGTAATGGTATGTAAGGGCCTTGTTTCCTTTTGGTGGGTTTTTTTTCATGCTTAGACATATGAATGTGACTACAGTCTTTGCTTTGTAGAAATGGCTAATGCTCATAAACTGTCTATATACCTTCTATGAATTTTTTGATGTTCAGGTAATAGGTGAGTTTTCAAACTGAGTTCTTGCAATCAAAGGTCTGCTGAGAGATAAAGGTGTTTCAGATGGTTCTTTTCAGTAGTTGTACAAAGATGTTTTCTTTGTTTACAGAGAAAAACTCCGATATGGGAAATGCAATGATGCAACTTAGAAAAATGGCCAATCACCCTCTTTTGCATCGTCAATATTACACGAATGAAAAGCTCAGGACGATGTCCACCCTCATGCTCAAGGTAAGGGGATGAGATTCAGAAGCAGTCCTTCATTTCTCAGAATTTCTAACACAGACTTGTTTGTTTTGTTGTCAGACTCCTGGTCAAAAATGTGTCTTTGCCAAACTTAATTCATTGTTGCTGCTTTTTATTCCTCTGCATCTATCCAGTGCTCTGATCAAGTAGCTCCGTAGGTATTTAACACTGATTTCAGTATCATTAGAATGGAGGGAACAGTTGTGGGTCTGCAGTCATCCTCTTTTCATAGGCTCCCCCTTAGCACCTCTTCCCTCCTCCCCAGGATTTAAAGCCAAAATGTTTGTGGGAAAAAATCTTAGATGGGCACTTGACTTCAGTAGCTTTCTGAGTAGCAAGAACTGAGTAGTGCAGAACTAAAATAGGGAAGACGTAAGTGTTGATATGTTAAGGGTTTTTATTTTTTTTTAATTTGTATGACGTTAATGCCTGAGGAGCTTGGAGAAAATTGTTGATTATTTCTAAAACAGAAAAAAATAAAAATCTTCATGTGCAGCAGGTGCTCTAAAAAAAGTTGGAGCTGGCTTTAAATATTCTTCAGGTTTTTTTTTTTTGAAGTGAAGCCAGACAAAGCTGGGGGGAAGCAAGAAGTGACTCATTGGTTTATGAAGGATTTTTGTCCCTTATTATTCCCATACCATTGTACTCTCCAGATGTCACTTTCTTTTCCTCTTTCATCCAGGCATGACACCCCTCTACCCACCCTACATCTTGGGCTGGGCTTTCTATGTCTTCTACCATCTATCCAAGGATTTGACCTCACTTTTAAGGGAGTGTGTCTTCAGGGGAAGAGGTCTGATAAAGGTGTAAAAGGTCGTAGGGTTTGATGGGAAGTAGGTAATTGCTATGAAGGTTGAGCATCTCCTTAAGTTTTTGCCAGTACAAGTGCTTATTAGAGCTAAACTGTGAAGTAATTATCCTCTCCTATAAACCTCTATTATCCTCTCCTATAAAAGAGAGTTCATCTTTTGTTGCTTGCATGAGCCATGCTCTAGCATTTGTTCATGTCTAGGTGTGTTAGTTCTTTCTTTCAGAGATTATGGATGTCACTGTGTGGTGGCTTTGCTTTTAATTCTCTGGTGAGATTGTGTGTTGCATTATTTCCCTTTATTTTTGCTAACAGGAACCCACACATCGTGATGCTAACCCTGACCTTATCTTTGAAGATATGACAGTAATGACAGATTTTGAGCTGCATGTGCTTTGTAGACAATATTCTCACATCAATGACTTCATGTTGGACATGGATCAGATCCTGGATTCTGGAAAGTTTAGAGCACTGGAACACATTCTCTCCGACCTTAAAGAGAAGGTATTACAGATGTCTGAAGATTTTTCCTGTCTGAAGAGTGGCTCTAAATAACTGGTTAAATTATTATCTGCCAGCTCTGTGTGCAACCCTGTTGCTTTGAGGTGGAGTTTTACAATGTAATTTAGTACATGTGCAGAATTGCAGAGCAACTCTTGCAGCTTTTAATGTGTAGCCCTGAGTATGCACATCACTCTAGAGACAGCTGAAATAAATTTTCCCAGTTATCCAAGTTTCAGAGTATTCATCCCAAGTTAAGTACTCTAAGAATATATGGGGTCTTGCATAATGTTGATGCCTCCTGGACTTGGACATTCTCTTAGCAATAGAATAAGACTGTATTACATTAGAATAATCATGTGTGTGTTAAGCCAGTGGAAAGGTAAGAAGAGGTCCTGCTTGAAGTCCTGCCCTGAGCTTCAAACAGGTTTATTTTGCAAATAAGCATGTGTCATAATGCTTCAGAGTATCCTGAATTTGCGTAGGTGGGTGCTGTGGATCTATTTCAAACAAAATAGGGCTACTCTCTTTATTACATCAAATATTTAAATTTAAGTTTTGAATGAAAGTGTTTTGATGTTTATGGAGGAAGTAATCTGTCATTTATGCATTTGATATGTGATTTGTTTGAGCCACCTAAGTACAAAGTAATTAAAATATTACTGCAGTGACAGACAGTGAGTTAATGCAGCGAAACTACTGGATATGGAATCTTCTCTGAAAGTCAATCCTGACTGGACGATTTTCAGCTTAAGTCTTTTATTTCGGAAAACAAGGATTCTGTGAAAGTAAAATCATATATTGACATCAATAAAGAATTTTTGTAGTTCATAGTTGACATGTTTCAGAATTTTTGTTTTGCTTTGTCTTTCCTAGGGTGACAGAGTTGTGTTGTTTAGCCAGTTCACTATGATGCTGGACATCTTGGAAGTTTTCCTAAAACACTGGCAACATAGATACATTAGGCTGGATGGAAAAACGCAGATTTCTGAGCGGTATGTGACTCTTGCCAAAAATGAGAGAGAGAAGGTGAATGTGCTGGAGAGGGGGAGATGACTTTAGACCCTTACCTTTGTTTTTTCCAATATATAGAAGTCTGTGCTCACTGGACATTGACCATAGAAGGTGTTTAATGCTGAGTTTCAGATCACCTTAGTAAGGGTGAGGCTGAAAGATGTTTATTTAAATGGTGGGGTTACAGTCTTAGCCATGGAAATTAAAAATGTATGTCTTCAGCAGTTCCTGGTGTGTTTGATTTGTGTGTCAGCATGTCGTAACACCTGTAACTACTCCTTGGAAGTAGCATGTATCTCTTTTACAGTAGGCAGATACACCCCTTTGTTTCTCTAGGACAAACCATTCTGTCTGTCCCTGCGGCTGAATATGTTGCAGTGCATTTCTTGTGTTTGAGCAGAGCTGGTTTTCTGTGTAAAGAACTTCTGAGGAATTTTTTGGAATGCTTTTTCCTTCATTTCAAAATGCTGTCATTCTTGCTGTGGTGTTACTTCCCACATAGAGCTGCTGTCTGTTTCTGCCCTTGCATGTGCAGTTAGTACAGAAGATTGTCATGAAGTGTAATTCATCCCCTGCCTTCCCATTTGTTTCATGTGTTCCAGTCTTCCATTGTCCTCCAACTGACTCTTTGTGTTCTGTGATCATCAAAAATCTTTTTCTAAGCCTGTTTTCACTTTTTGCTATCCATCTGTCACTCAGTATGTGTCTCTGGTCCCTGCAGAGGACTGTTGGTAACCTTTTTCCTGCCACATAACATCTGTACTTTGGACATCAGTGCCGCTGTCCTCTCTTCCAGAAGATCATCCCTACTTCTATGTTCAACTCTGGAGCCAGTGTGGAGTGTTTTCTAAGGCCTGATGCATGGTGTCTTGTCTTCTGCAGGATACATCTGATAGATGAGTTCAATACTGATATGGGTATATTTGTATTCCTTCTGTCCACCAAAGCTGGTGGCTTGGGCATTAATCTGACCTCGGCCAATGTTGTTATCCTTCATGACATTGACTGCAACCCTTACAACGATAAGCAGGCAGAAGACCGGTGCCACAGAGTAGGTCAGACACGGTAAGACTTTTTTTTATTTATACTGCTTGGGTTTTCTTGGAGGTGAGCTCTCAAAGGATGCTAAAAGGACAACAGGATCTATGATTAAAAGTTTTAGGCAGAGACTTGAGTAGAGCAGCTGTGGGTTGTGTGGGAACTAGGAACTGTAATTGTCTTAGTCCTTGTTGCTGGCAGAACAAACCTTTATTTACACTTTCCTCCTTTTCCTAGTTCATTATAACTCTCAAATTTCTGGTGCTAGGAACTATCCCAAGGCAGATCTGAAGTCTTTGGGACTGTCTGGCCAAGCTGTTTGTTCTCTTCAGGAGACTTCTAAGCTTTTAAGTGCTGCCCTATCAGAAAGAGTGAAACTACAGAATGTGTGTAATTTCAGCTGTATTCAACAGTAAAATGAAATTTGGGGGAACTTTTTTATATTAATGGAGATCTTTGTGACTGTCCAGACATCTGGAGTGGCTGGGAGCGCAGGAGAAAACATGTTTTCTGCCAATGCAGAGCACAGTTGTTCCAGAAAAAAAGTCTAGAAGCTCTTTGTATTGCCCTCTCATTTATTTCCTCATCCTTGTTTTAAACCCCAGCCAGCTGAGCCAAGGCATAGCATCCTTCCCTTTTGCACTAATCCAAACTACGAAAATGGATTTTTTTTCTTGTCTTTTTCAGAGAAGTACAAGTTATAAAACTTATCAGTAAGGGGACTATTGAAGAAACCATGCTCAAAATCAGCCAACAGAAATTGAAGTTAGAACAAGATATGACTGCAGCAGAATCAGGTAGATGTCTTGCACATAATGATGTCCATTTAAGTAAACTGAAGCTGCAGTATGTTACTCTGAAAAAAAGAAGGTTCTTGATGCAGACAAGTCTTTTGTTGTTTGGGAGTTTTTATGCTAAACTAGAAAGATGTATTTTTGCTGGCTGTTCTTTGATTTCACAGGAAATGCCCTCTGTATCTGAGCCAAAAATCAGTGACCAAGTCCTACAAGCAGAGGATTTTTTTACTGTTTAGGGGTTGCAGGCTTTTATCTGTTTATGTGAAATATTTTAAGCTGTACTAATGCTTGTCTTTATTCCTCAGGAGAAGAAGGAACCATTCCAGCAGATATAGCCACGCTATTAAAAGCTTCATTGGGTCTCTAAAATGTAAATATGTTGTGAAATTCAAGGAAGAAAGGTGATGATGTACCCCAAGGACTCTTACATTACTGTTGACCAGGAGTTTTATGAATGTTTATAACTTTTTGTAGTTTCTTTATTGTATTGCTCATGGTATTAAAATTTTTTAACACCAGTATCATTTTTTGATGCTTTAAAAGCATAAATGGCCCAAATGTGCCAACCTCAGATGCTGAATAAAGGTTTTACAGATTACTTTTGAAAATGGGGACCTGAGTAGTAATTGTTTTAACAAATCTGCTACTGCTTAAGATTTGTCAGTATTTTTGTAATTATTTCTACCTCCAAATATATATATATATAAACTGTCTGTTTCACTGGATTCCGCGTGTAGATTTTTTTATATGTGCCTTATTTGACAATGCTCGAGTCTGTTTCTGGTTGTTTTGTTTCATTTGATGTTCCATACTGGTTTTGTATCAACTTGTTCCAATAAAATTCCATAGACTGACAAAATGTTTTCGTGCTTGCAGTGATTTGGGGCAGGTGAGAGGATGATAATGTGCATGTTACAAATCAATTAGGCAGCTCTCAAACCAGCTGGAATGTTCCAATCGAACTGACTTGGCTTTGTCCAGCAGCAATTAATTACCAGTGAGTCATTATACTCTAATTGCAATGGTGTGAGGATATTGATTGTAAAAGCAGAACTCCTGACAAATGGTTTGGTCAAGTCTGTTGGTATTCCAGTCAACTGTACATGATTTCTGCAAATTCAAAATGGGTGGCAAGTTAAAGCTTATCCAAAACTTGTTTTCCAGGTGTGGACTAAACTGCTTAGCTTTTCCTAGAAATGTTCTGTGGCTGTGCTGTCTGTTCCAAAGTGCACAACTGAAATAAGGTGAAGATGCACTGTATTGTTTGAGAAGGGATAGGATAAGAATCAGGTTTCTATGCTTCTTTAATTTCACTGGTTCTGCTGATTCATAAATAGATGGATTGAACAGAGAGCCACAGGTGTTTAACACTACAGCTAATTAGGTTGTGTGTTTCTGCTGAGCATGCTAGCCCAACTCTTACTGCATTGTACCTGCATGTGCTCACCTGCTTGGTTCAAATGTGGATTGAAACAAGATCCCTGCCCTTCAGGGTGGGTTGTGTGATGCTCTGGATGTGTATGGGATCAGTTAATGAAGTCTGGAGGAGCAGTGGTTACCCCTGGGGTCAGTGTCTGTCTTTTAGGTGCTGTGAAGCTCACTGTTTCTACTCTTTTCAGCTGGGGGTCTCAAGAGAATGCAGGGCTGCCATCCTTGGAGGTAACCAGAAGCTAGCTGGAAGCAGTCCTGGGCTGCTGGCTCTAGGTGGCCCTGTGTGAGCAGGGGCTTCGACCAAATGACCTCCAGCGGTGCCTTCAGCTATTCTGTGGTTCTGTTTTTCTGATTGGGAAAGAAGTACAAGGGAAAAAAAAGCCACTCTCTCTCTCTGAAGTCAGTTGAAGAGGAGTTTTGGGATCTAAAGAAAGGAAAATTGAAGAGCCACAGCAAAGCATGCAAGGAGTTGCAAAGCAGGTGAAGATGGGAATTAGTAAAGCTTGTTTCTTTCTGTTCTGATAGTATTTGACTTGGTTCTCTTAGGGGTGGCTTGGTTTCACTCATGATTCAGTGAAATAATACTTGAGGTGGGAGGGGAAAGTAAATGTGAAGGGAAATGCTGTCCCAACAGTGGCGATTGTTTGTTTGTGGCCCAAGTTTGTTGTGGTTTATCTGCTTACACCACGCAATGGAGACCTCTCACAAGCACTTGTCTTCCCTTGAGTTTGTGTAAACCACTTTCATCCACAGCTGTCCACATTGCCAGGATTTCCACCTGCCTTTTCTCCAGTATTGGAAAAGCAGACCCTTCATTTGTTCTAAACCTGGTTGCCATCACCAACCCGCAGCTTGTGTCTCCTTCTTACTGGCATAGATACTGAGCTGTTGAATGTTTTTGCAGCTGGTGCATTTATGGAGAACTGGTGGAGGTGTGGGCACCAGCTCAGCTGGGCAACTGGTTTTTGGCTTGTTTTGGAAGTTTTTGTTTTTGTTTTCTTCAGGAGCACAGCACAAACCTCAAGCTTCTCGGGCACTTTTTTCAGGCCCTTGAATTTTATTGACTAAGTGGGTCTTCTTTTTTTTTGGGTTTTTTTTTGGTTGGTTGGTTGGTTTTTTTTGCTTAGTGTCCCAAACATTTGCTCTCTCCATTTAACTTGCTTTCCTCTGGATTGAAACACAGCAGTAGGCAAAATGTTACTGAGATTGCACCTCTCTGGAAAGGCATATTCACCTTTTCTCCCTTTGAGAGTGCTCAGAACATTAATTGGTTTGATCAAGCACTGTGTTAGTAGAGGGGGAATGTGATTGAAACCACACTTCAGTGAATCAGTGTTTATTACTCTACTAAATCAGTGTTTTAGATTTTCTAGCAAGTGGATACAAGTAGTAGATTTTGATTTGATACAGCATAGCCATCTGAAGTTAATTTAATTGATTCAGGAGTTAATAACTTGGGATGCTTGTCATATTGAAAACTAAACAAGCGCATTTGTTTTTCTGAGCAGCTGATCTACATTACACTCTTTGGCCTTTTCTGGATCCAGGCTGCAATAGCTGGAAGTGCTTGCACTCTCTCCCTGAGAGCCAAAAGCCTGGGGTATTTGTCTGCCAGGTCAGATTTACAGGACAGAAGTGTCGTACTGCACACATCCCAGTAGAAATCAGCCCACGTTACCTAGTGGAAATGGGACAGAAAGCAGTAGATTTTAGTTAGTAATCTCAAAAGCTAGGACTACTAATATTCTCAAAAAACTGTAAATTTATGTATTATAAATTTTCATTCTGGGGTTGGGGTTTTTTTAAGCCCGTTTTGACTGGACTAGTAGTTAGGTTGCAATGCAAGGCTTGACTTCAGTAAATATTGGTTAAAATAAAGTCTTGGCTACAAATATTAGTTGTGTTACAATCTTAGTCTTTCCTGCTGAAACTGTGATTCAGAAAACATCTTGGGGTGAAAAGGGTACTATGTTTTTATAAAAGGTTTTTTTTTTTTGCATTGCCTTATAAACAAGTCAGTGATGATAAACAGGGTCCTGTGTAGTCATGAATTTGTGTTCGCAGGTGCAAAGTCATTTAAAATGTTTTGTGTCAACATACTTATGAACTGCTTTAGAAAACACAGATCCTAGTCCTGGTTTGCCTCACTTTTCTAATATTGTGGAAAACAATTTTCACTTTGCAGTTGAGTGACCAGTTGTGTGTTGGTAAGACCAAAGGGTTAAAAGTTTGGGGAGAGTTGCTTCATGGCCTGACATGAAACCCAGAAATTCAGCAATAGTCCATTACTTAATTTTTCTGACAACCTGGTGGGAATGGGAGAAACAAAAATTATACTTACAGAATTCCCTACTAGCCACTTCTTATCCCCTAAGAAAGTATCCAAATCTTTCAGTAGCTCAGGTGCTTTGTTGGTGAGGATATCATCAAATGCTTTTTTCTGGTGGAAGAAACACACAGAGATGCACAGCAGTCAGCAAAACTGAATTTTTGAGGTTTTTATTATTTATGAAAAAGATGACATATGAAAAATATTAGGGTCAGGTACCAAGACATGGCATTTGTGGCTTCCTGAGCCACGACTTAAAGCCAATTACTCCCTAATGAGCACCTGAGTGCTCCTTGATGGTGACATGATGTCTGTGGTGATGCTACTCATTTTTCTGTGTTAACAGAAAAAACACCCAGACATGGCAAGACATCGATTTGGGAAGAATCCAGCTACAAAATATATTCCTAATGGCTTATAGCAAATTATGGGGGACTCCTTTGAATGTTATCTTTTCTAGTGTGCAGAGCCTCAGATTTCCAGAATCCCTTGTGCTCAGTCTTTCCATGCTGTCAGTCAAATGCTGCTTAATTGAATGTGTTTTTAAAGGATGATCAAAAGGCTCAGGCCGTACTGTTTGTATGTTAGTGGCTGCAGCATGAGGTGGTGGTGGTGGTGGTTCTCCGCTAGCTGTTCCCCATAGAGCAAAAAGTCTTTAGGCTGCTTTTAAAAGGGCTAAGCTGTTTCCTTTGGTGTGGAAAACTGCTTCTGGTTTTCTCACCTGCATGGAAACAGTTAAGACTGCAAACTCTTGTGTCAACCTACATGGCACAGTTTGTGCAGTTACTGTGCATGGCCTAATTTCGGAGGAACACACTCAGGCTTAGGTAAATAAGCACTGGTGTACAGGAATGGAATTATTTCTACAGCTTTAACTGATGTTAATGTGAAAAAAAAAAAAAAGAAATATAAGAGGCAGAAACCTAAATGCAGGCTGAAATCAAACCAGTGTATCTACAGACAGGATCAAAGATTTGACATAATTTTCTGCTTTGTTAAGAACTTAGTAATTGGATGAGATGACTGCAAGTATCAGCCAGGAGTTTGCAGTACAGAAATCTGCTATCTGTGCCCCAGGTTGCAGTATTTCCGTTCTTTTATGTAAGCCATCCCTTCCCCACCGTTTTACCCTGCAAAGAAAACCCCAGACTATTGTGTGATCATGATGGTAACAAAATTCCCCAAGTATAGGACTCTGCAGCCAAGTTGTGAAGCTGGTGGGCACAAGCAGGATCCCTCTTCTGGAGTGGCACAACCTGCTCGTCTGAGCCCTGGAGCTCTGCAGCAGAGGGTGCCAAGCTGTTGCAATGCCAGCTGTGTTCTGGGGAACATGGGGTGAAGAAGTCTGTGCCTGGCACAGAGGGAGCTTCCAGGGGCAGCTTCCAGCTCTGCTCTCCTACTTTGCTTTTATTTCTCTTTGCTACTGGCTAGACGGCACAACATCTTCTCACCATTCCCGGGGTGAGCACTGGTCAGGCCTGGGGAGGTGTTTTGGCTTCAGTGTGTGTCACTGACTTAAATCCCGCCTGGTGAGACCGTGAGACGCCACTTGGACCACAAGGTGGTGGCAGCGGACCCAGGAGGAGAGAGGAAGGAGCTGGGAGAGTGCCACGGTGAGATTCCCGACCATCCTTGGCCCCAGCACATAACTTAGCGTGCATACGTGCGGATGGGCACACGGGGGTTGGCTGCCAGCTCTTCCTGTTTAAATTAATCACTGGTGACACGAATCTGGTTTCGGAGAAGTGCTTGGGTACGAGCTGGGGCACACGCAGGAGTTACAACAGGAGCTTCCCCGTGGAGGGGCAGCAGTGTTGCCTCTGCACCAGCACATCAGCAGCAGTGTGGCTCTTCTGAAATGATTAAAACTCACGAGTCCACTTACCCTCCCCAAACGAGGAAACTTCAGGAAATCACTAGGAAATATAAGAAATTCACACTTTTAAGTACTAAACCTTCAAATTTCAGATTTTCCCATGCAAGATTTCAGAGCACTTTCATTTTGTTTCTTTATTCTTTATGAGTTTAGGGCACCATTTTTTACTCTGTGGTCTCTGCAGTAAGATACCCTAAATTATCTGAGATGCTGCCTTTGAATAAGTGGAAGGTGGCTGCACTGGCAGTTTATGGTGAGAGCTGTTGTTACACCTCTGTTTCCCTAAGAGGGTGGTCAGGCTTATCTGCTTGAGTCAGAGCTGTGCAGAGCCTTTGTAATGCTGGAGTGAACTCATCCATCACTTCCTTCCCCCAGCAACTGATCTGTGTGCTTGCTTTTGGGATTCTGGTGAGAGGCACTGGCCTGATGCCAAAAAGAACCCCAAATGGTGTAAGACAAGGCTGTGACTGTGTGTTAAAATAGCCATGGCACCATAGCCTGTTGTCAGAAGCACTGCAGAGGACCAAGGTGTGGGCTGTGGCATCTGAAAAGCACAGTGAGGGCTGTGCTACCTGCCCTGATCAGCGGTGCCCACTGTCCTACACTGCTCTGGTGACTGACAAGCAGCTGTCCCTGGCAACTGATGTAATTGAACACTGACACTTACTGAACACCTAGAAGAAGTCAAAATTCAGAAAAACTAAAGGATGGGATGGGGCTATTTATCTTACTGAGTTGGCAGAAAGATTTGAGCACAGGCTCCTTAAGAGAAGAGAGAGGAATTCTGCAGTGCCAGCTGGGGTGGAAGTGTCCTGCCTTTGCCCTTTTGAAGAGCAGTTTGGTGTAAGCACATCCTCGGTTCAAGCTGAGCTAGTGAGGGGCAGCTCACAATGGCCTCAGAGTTTCACCAAGGGTGAAAACAACCTGGTGAAGGAGGAGGTGGGATCAGCCTCAAAGAGGAACCACAGGGCTCCAGCAGTTCAGCTTTGCTAAACTGAGGTGATGAACCCAGTGGCTGACACCCATCAGTGTCTCCAGAGCCGATGCTTAGATAGGAGCATGGCTTACGTGCTATCTTTGTTTAATTTCGTGATTGGCTTACTCTCACGTCCTGGTTTTTCTCTGCCCAAGGGAACAGTGTCATGAAATCATCGATGGTGTCCACAATGGCATCAGCTAAGGCCTGTTCCACAGGTGTCTGGCCTGCCAGACCTGTGGGAAGCAAGCATACGAAAGGATGTTAGAGACAGCACCAGCAGGAATTTTTGATACCCCCAAAGGTAACGTCTTTGAATATTTTCATAAAAATACACATTCTTCAGATCTTTTTGATGCTCACAGTGTGGATTTGACTCCTTGCATCCAGGTGCAATCTCATCTACCTTTGCTTTTTTCTTCTTCTGGCCTTCCAAGGTAGTGAGTTGTTCTATCCCTTACCTGAGCCCCCAACCTGAACATTGTTTCTTTATCCTCTCTGCTTTCCACCACACATTCAGCAAGGGTCTGCACAGATTCCTTTCCTTTAATCTTCACCCATCCCAGTTTCAATATCCTTCTCCATCTCATGGTCAACACGTTCTCCAAAAGTGCATCTGTGTAAGTCTGTTTCTCTTTCCCTATATCCTGCCCACTCAACCTCATTCAGAAGTTTTTCATGACATTCCACTTACTTTTTAATCTTTCCTTGTAATCAGGGACCTCGGCCAAACTTTGTCTTGTTTACAAATCTGCTTTTCTCCCCTGTAGTTCTTTGGCTTTTCTGCAGTTCTCTTAAGCCTCTACTTTTTCTCCCCGGCTGTCACTTCACAGGCCTGCGTTTATGCTTTCATCTCCATGCAGGTTCAGATCACAAACTGTGTGTCCTACCTCTGTCAGGTCATCTCCTTTGCTGAAACTTTGTGCTTTTGGAGGTGAAGGCTGTGCCTCTCCTCTTGGGCCTCACCTTCTGTGATCCTTCAGCTATGCATTAGTGGTGTTGGGCACCTAAAAATGCCATTTCTTAACTTAAAAGGATTAGTGATGTGTATGCAGGCTTAATGACAGAACTAGCAAGTTTTCACTGTGAAGTTGAAAAGATATCTTTCCTCTTCCTGCTGTAGCTGACAGCATGACTAGTTCTGGGAAGAGCACAGCATGGTCTGAGTGTGGTCCAGATCCCAAGCCTTTGTCACTGGTGGATGTCAACCAAAAAAGTCCAAACTCCAGGCTGCAAAAACAGCATGGCTCCAGATCAGCCTCCCGACAGGAGCCAGGGAGAGAGGAATCTTGGGTGGGAGGTGGGCTTTCCTCATTCTCCTCTCTTGCAAGGAGTAGATTATATCAAAGCTGGAGAAAATGGGCAGGAACAGAGTATTGCAAGACACACTTGAAAATGTGTTGTGTTAGTGCCTTGAAAAATAATGCTATGAACTTCTGCTTCCTTCCTCAGTTAGAAAATGGAAGTTATTTTGAAAGGCAGGCCACAGCCACTTGCTCACAGTGTAAAAAAAAGTAGTACAGTACTTGCTTCCCAGCCCCCATCTTCAATTTGCTGATGTCCAGCATGCTGTGGGCACATCTGCCTTCAGCCAGACCAATTTTGCAGATGGTGTTGAAAGACAGCTCATTGACCTAAAGCAAAGCCTGGCCACTCTCTTTGATTACTTGCATTACTAAGTCTCATATAATTTTATCTAACTGGTTGTGTACTTCCACGGAATGTAAGTATTTAAAGATGCAAGTGATGTCAACATCTCCTCTAATCTCTCTGCTAGCCCAGAATTGTTGCCTAAATCTGCTTCAGAGTTCTCTGCCTGCTGTGATAATCTCTAATGCTTCCAAAACCTCTTCTTCCTGGTCATCTCTCTGGTTAGCCTGGCAGGTCAAAGTTGAGCTTTAGGGCAGCCTTAGGGAAACCACAGGTATGTGCTTTCTGTCATGCAGGGACAGGTGGATAGAGTGTGCTGGCTGGAGAAGTCAGCCCAAACCCCAGGCTTTAATTTTTGCCATGCTGGTGTTGGCTTCTGCATGGTTAGGTTTGCCAAGCTGTTAGCTTTTTTCTGTTTTTATGTGTATGTGTTTTTACCTGGACATTAAATGTGAGCACAGAAGAGAGAAAGAAAATAATCAAAGATACATTACCTGCTTCTCTGGCAAGATATCTTGCTATTGCCAGGCTCTGATGAATTATAACTCCATCTACTTCCAGAATGGGGAGTTTGCCAAATGGGATAGCTTGGAGCAGAAAGTAAAAAAGAAAAAACAACCAAAAGTTCCATCATCACCATTAACAGTAAGAGTCTGTGACAGCTGTAGTTTTACCACTCAGAGGATATGCATTGTTATAGCACTCAACACTTTCACTGTTTCTGTGGAGAAATGCATGGACTACAAATAAAAAAGGGTAAGGATGTCATCAGATTGCACTGCATGAAGGCAACTATAGCACAGAAACCAGGCATTGCATTTCCTATTTCCTGCCATTTTGTTATAGAGGCCAAATGTGCTCCTATAGTTACAGAATTCTTTATATAGGGAAAATTTCCAGGAGAAATATTAGTTTTTCCTTCTCTCCCCAGAAAGTGGCTGCCAAGGTTAAGTACAGTACTACTGAAAATTTCATAGTGCAGGATCCAGCTAGGGCATGAAGCAAGGGATTGGACAAAGATGGCATGATAATCTTCATTTATTGTTGTCTGAAATTCAGAAGCAGTGATTAAGAGAAGCATCTACATTTCAGAACTTAGGTTATGACAAGGCATTTCACTTGGCAGTCCTCATGGAGACGAATATATCTTTCACACTGAACTACAAATCCTAAGAAGATATTCAAATTCACTTGATGTGGGTTGCATTAAAAAAATAATTCAGCCAGTTATGGGGAAGAGGCCTCCAGATTTTAAGTACAGGGAAAGACAGACTAAGCAGGTGTCATGGATATCTGTAAGGGAGTTTGAGGTTAGAAATCAGTCTTACTTTTCTGTTATTAATGTCATAGTTACATGGAAACTTGGACTGCTGTTTTGCTGTGTTTTGGAGAATTTCCTGGCATGATATGAAATAGAACTGGAACATTGGAGCAAAGCTTAATCTGGGGGGAAAGAGTCATGTTTAGGGCAGTGAGAATCTGCTCATGGGAACCTGGTGCTCTTCACTGAGGGATCTGTATTTCCAAGGATGCTCTTTCCAAGTACGTGACTGCAAGTCCTGATCATAACTAAATGCTTTGTACTCAATTTTCATCCATATTATACTTTATATAATTAAGATTTATATCCATTTTAAGACTGTCTTGTGCTGTAAAAAGGTGGTAGTGGAAGAGTGAGAACATTGGTCATTGGAAGCATGCAAAGTGCTTTCAAAACTGGAGAACTGTAAAGATTTACAGGGCACCTGGCATGACACCTCTATTCCATGAGGATTTTTAGTTCTTAATGAAAAGGGGATAGTAATGAAACCTTATGCATTTGTAACTGTTTAGCAAGGTAACTGCATAAATGATGAGCACTGCCCTGTGGTTTAGCATGTGGTTTGTAAATCACATTAGGTATCGGGTCCTAGATGTTAAATCTTGATCTGCAACACAGATTTTGCAGTTGCACAAGACATCCAGGACTCCTCTGTGCATTTGGTTTTTTTCCTTGCATCTGAACACAATACTCATGATACCTTTTTTTTCCCTTAATTTCAGCACAGTGGGAATTCAGCATGAATTTGGAAGCTGATGAATAGCCAAAGCAAGAGAGTTCAATGAGCATTAGCTGCAGTACCCCAGGGAGAAAGCAGGCTCTGCTGGTTGTTATTGAAGCAATAATAGACTTGTTGCACAGGAGACTTTGTATGTTTATTATCCAGAGAGCAGCAAGGCCCTGGCAGGTCCATGTTTTGTTTCCTTGAGAATCACTGAGAGATGACAAATTGTATCCTCTGAATGTTTACCAGGAAAGCTCTCTGGCTATGAAAATGAGAAGAGCCTCGGTTCTTCACTCTGGGTTAGTGGTGCAGAGGGCCCTGAGCTCCAAAACAGCAGAGATATTTGCTTAAAGCACATATTTCAGGCCGGCACAAGTAGAGAGGATGAGAGCAGGTGTGACTGCTGGATGTGCCAGTGTGGTCAGCCTGCAGCCTGCTCCATATCCCCCAAGACTTCACAGAGATATGCAACAATGCCTGCTGACAGGAAACAGCAGAAGTGCAGCCAGAGCAGGGGTAACAGCTCCCCCCAGGAAGGAGTTAAGCATTCTCTTTTGGAAGCCCCAGTAGGAATGCCTTGGGGTGGATGCAGTTCTGGCAGGGTCAGTATGACTAAGCCAGTCCGTAGCAATAGCTGTCAAAACACGCTGTCACTCACTGCTCAGGTTGGGAAACCATGAGACTGAGATTGCTTCATCTAGAAACCCACAGATATTTTTGCTGCTGTGTTTATGTACAGGGGAGAAGTCTATAAACCCCAGATTTGACTGATGTTTCACTTTGTGGGTCACCACAAGAAAAATTAAAGCTAATAACCCAGTTTGTTATTATGGGTTTGTTTTTTTTTTTTAAAGAAACCCTTGCTTACAACTAAAGGAGGGAAGCATCTCTCTGAACACTTAAGGAACATGGATTATGGTGTCAAAGTCAGCTCAGTGGCAGAGTGGTAGTCATCTCTCATGTTCTATTTCTCAGGAATCTGGTCATTTGTGAATTCAAGGGAATTGCAATTCATTCCTTGAAAACATGAGTAATATCTTTTAAGGTCATTCTCCCCAATGCTGAGCTACTTCCTTGAAGACCTGGTTACTCTTTTCTGAAAGAGAAACTGAGTTTGTGACTGAAAATACACAAAGACAGCTTTGTTTTTGTACATACAATTGCATGATTCTTAATACAATTATAAAATTAAAAAATGAGAGCAGACTTTATTTTGTTATCCCATAATGTCTAAAAGGATTTGTGCTTTGATTTATAGTGAGACTTGGGGTTTGTTTGTTAGGAGGCAGCAAATCTATTGCTATCATTACTGAACCATGGATTCTTTAAAGGATAACAGATGATAAATGGTAGGTGTCCCTTTCTTGTGTATTCAAAATGTTATTTATTTTTTTTCTTATCAAAAACAGGGAAAAAAACTGGGATTTAATGTAAACATAGGTTTTTTTCCAGCTGATAGAGTGCATGTATTTAATTATACACTGATTTTTTTGATTATTGAGTTAATAAGCTATAAATAAATGCAATTTTAAGAGGTTTGAAGAAAGTACACATATACTGTGCAGGTAATTTTAAAAATCTGTTGGTTCTTCTTGGGTGCAGGGCAGGCTACTCCTGAGCACCAGAATGTACAGCAGATATTCAGGCTGCTTTGCAGCCGAGGAAAATAACGAAGAGTAGTCAAGGGGCAGAAGATACTTACACTACATCTCCTCCATATCTGAGAAGGTATAATGGCTTACAAAGTTGTGTTTTCAGGCTGGAAAATTTTAGAAAAAATAATCTTTGCCTTTGAAATGTTAGTGTCTAACATTCATGTAACGACAAAAATTTTTTGTAACCTGCTGTAAAGTGTCTCTTTGCTTTTGTAATTTAGAATAACAATTTTCCCAGAAGATTTTCCTGTGTATCTGAGTTTGCCTGTTATGGGGAAGAATGCATTTTCTGTGAAACTTGTGAGTCTTCCTTCTCCAGCTGGAGAAGAGGGGTGTGGATTTTTGTCACACAGCTCATCCTTAGGGAGGATGTGAGGAGCCTTCACACTGGATGGACATTTGATTGTTGGAAGTAAGGTTGGGGTTTGACAAATAACCTCAATGTGGCCTCTAGAAACTTTGCCAGTTGCAGAAACCACACTTAGGCCATATTCTCAGGGGCTCCAAACTACAAGAGAAACCTGTCTGCACATGCATTTAAGCAGTCTTACCCTTAGACTCATTAATGTGGGCTTCTGTGGATTGCTTTGACCCCCTGTGGTGCTTTTGGTCCAATTCTGCTCATTGACATGTTCGAGAAGATGCCCAAATGCCCCATGTGTATAAGCATGGCACTAAACCTGCTGAAATTTTCTCAGCTTTGGTGAAAGGCATGGTTTGTCTGACTGAAGATGAGCAGAGCAGGTAGGATGGCTCCTGCCAGGCTCCTATTTTAGATGAGCAAGTGAAAAGCTGCTGTGTGAGAGAGATGTTTGGGTAGAATCAAGGTCATGGGGGCAAGGCATGAAACACCACCCATAGGGGAGCAATTACAACTGAGCAGCTAAGCCAAAGTAGTGCAGGCTGGAAGGATGTGAGTGTCACATTGCTGGCTTTTCTCTCACCCTTGTTGTTTTGGGGGCTGCTTTGTACTTATGTCAGTTTAAACCCTTGTGTATCCGTATGGATGAGCTTTCCATGTTTTTCAAAACAATGTTGTCTTACAATGTCTCCAACTCCCACTTGAGCAAATACATTTTGAGGAGGAAAAGCAGAAAAAATCTATTGCTGCTGTCATACAAACAGTGTCATTTCTCAGGCATGCACAAAATATGACCTTTCCTGTTTAGTTCCTGCTTGCTTTGCTGCTCATCTGAAGTACAAAGCTGTGAATGCTTGTGTTCCAAATTTAGACTGAAAGAGGAAAAGGGTTTTTAAAAGGCCTCCTTTTTGAATAACTAAATCCGTAGTCTTCTTTAAATGGAACTTTTATCAGCAGGTTCTGCTTTTCATATTATGTTGGTTATTTACTGGCTTTTTGCATCGTATGCTGGAATGAAATCTGCAGTCTACACTCCCCACGAAGAACACCTTGACAGAGGACAAGTCCTCAGACTGATCTGCAGTCTCCTCATTTTAGGAAGATCTCACTAAAGTATCTGTGCAGTGTTTAGGAATTGGATTAATTAATTTTCATACTACTTTAATTTTGGTTGGCTTTTGTGACAAGAACTGTGATGTTTATAAAGCCGAGCAGGGGAGATGATGTGTCTTAAAAGCAAGACCATCCCTTTAATTAATTTCCACCCCACCAAGCCTCTAAGGGCTGTGATGACTGCTGGCATCCTGCCTTGCTTGTAGGCTCTCACTGGTGTTCAGGCCTTCCTTTTGAACACAAGCTCCTCATTCATTCTCCTGGCCATGACCCAGTGGCTCGTGCTCCTGTGCTACTGTTCCTCTCTCTGGGACACGGAGGGGAAACACAACAGAGCTGAGCACAGTTTTGTCCAAGCCTGGCACCTAGGCTGGTCAGCTGCTAGTGCTGGGCTTCTTCTCCAGATACAGTTT